GTAATTTGTATATTAAAAAATTATAGAAATTTTATATTAATAATCTATATGTTAAGACAAATCAAACAAGATCACACATGACTATATTTAGGCTTACACATTGAGAGAATTTGATGAGTCAAAGTACTTAGATAAATAGTTCCAAAAGTTAAAACTGGACAAATACTCTGGAGACAGAGGGAGTATATTTTTTGCAGTGACCAATTGGGCTTGAAGAGACTCTCAAGTTTGGGACTCATCCTTTTAAGATGTGTGCAGGACTGCTTGGATTAATTTAGCTTGTTCTATGGAAAATGTTTGGCCACAAAAAAGAAGTCAAAGCACACCAAAAAAGAATAACGCTCCAAATCAACACTGCAAGTTGGCAAAGAAGAAGTGAAAGATGAAATGATGGGCTTTTGTTTGGTTAAGAAGCGAAAGAAAGATAGAGATAGGCTGTCCTTCTTCCCCACTATTATATGGGCCGCCCTTCTTGGCCTTTTACTGTACCCTTATACACCCGGTCATACTTTTTTTTTGAGAGAAAAAAGACTAATAAAGAAGTACAACATTAAAAGTATACTAAGATAGGACTTTCATATTTTTATGTCTAATTTTTTCAATTTCATTCCAAAATTTAGTTGATTATGAGAACAAAAAATAGGCTAATTAAATTTGGAAAATGAAATTGAAGGAGTTGGACGGTTCGAGTCGGGCAGTTATAGGAGGTTTGCTAGAAGTATTGGGAAGAACGAGTCATTAATTTTGATACAGAGCACCGTATGTGTTCTAATTAGAGCCAGCGTCATTTGTTGACGGTTTGACATTGGTCAGTGACATTTAAACTGCCCCGGTGGGCACATAATTGGTTCTTTTCTTTACTCTCTTTGTCCATTTTACAGATTGGCTACATAGCCAATCGATAGACTAAAACCGTAGTCAATCGGCATAATGGAGAGGACAGACAAGGAGATTAAGAATGTAGGAATAACTTTCAGACCAACAGAACACTACTTCTTCCGCCCCCAAACATTTCTTGTTTTTACTTTTGGAAGGAGGAACTGGTGAAGTTTGACCAAAGTATAATGATGACAATTGAAACGAGTAGGGTTTGAGAAATGTCAAAATGGATAGGGTGTACAAGGTAGCTGAAGTATGTTCGGTTAAGTTTAATAAAAGTAAAGACAACTGTGTCTCTATTTAACTCACATTGAAATGTTTTATGGGACAAGTAACATATATAAAAGTTGAAAAGTTTTACGAGACGAAAGTAGTATACGTTTTTGATTTTAATATAAAAAGAAGTGTTGAAGAGTATTATCCATGAAGATTGAAGAAATAATTGGCGATGGACAAAAACATCCAAATTGGAACTATGTGGTGACTTGGTTTCCGGAAGCCAAGTTAGGATGAATGAACCATATCGTAAGAATATCAATTTTCACTTTAAAGATGCAAAACAAAAGGGCCAGATGCATTGAATATGGTGTATTTGCATGCTCAATCTATATGATGACTACGACTACTCTTTATTACTCCGGGATACTGAGTTTCGATGGGTGTAGCTCAACTGGTTGTTACGTATTGTACAATGGACATCAACGAAATATAAAAATTCCTTGTTATTATTATGATAAAAATTCCTTGTTATTATTATTATTATCATCATCATCATCATAATGGAGGATATATGATTACAAGGTTTGAAAATTAAGAGCGATGGCCATTGCAGCAAGACATAGGATAGTCATCATTTGAGCTAACAAACAAAGTTTTATAAACAAAGGAGTGCCATATCTCAGAGATAACTAACAAACATTTGCTTTGAGAGATAGGTACATTAAACATAAGGCTTCTGCAAGTATTAAGTACATAATCCACTTTTTATCATTACTCTGTGATCAAAGACAAATTTACCCTCTCTCAATGATCGTCCGGCCGGATCTGAGGAACCCTCGAAGATGAGGCTAATTTTATAAAATGTGTCTTTACTTTCCCAAGCTTGCTATATATATAGTAGGGCGTTTGGTTTTCACCTAAAACCAAAAACAAATGAAAGGTAAGTTGGCGATTCGGTTCGATTTGCAAAAAAAAATGTAAATCGCTAGTTATTTGATTCGATTTTATGCAATTTTTGTTTCATCTTTTTTTTTTTCAATTTATAAAAGTAAAAATTTTATAAGCATTAAAAAATTATAAAAATACTAACTCGATGAAGCAATACGTAGGCTTGGGTTCGATTTTTTAGTTTGATTTTTACAGAAAACCACAAGTCCACAATCGAACGGAAGGTTAGTTTTCTAAAGAATGTAAATTCCCAATTGAATTTTGTAGAGCTTTAGATATAATTTTTAAATATGTGATTTTTCTTCTATAATTTTACACTAACTTCAATCAAATCTCATAAACTGAAACAGAAATAAAGTTTTAGGACGGAGGGAGTATATTATTAAAATATTATTTTGAGTTTGAATTTAGTATAATGATTTAAAGATAAATCATAGTTTGATTTGATATTTATTACTCGGTATATTTTAGGTTTGAGTTTGAGATGAATAGTTGGAGATGGTTTTAAGATTCAATTTTTTTGAGATTGAAATTTTGACAAAAAAAGGACATTCACATGGCTTAGCTAACTACCATAATAGTTGTAGTGAAGGGGACCCCAAATTTTCATTACCATTTGTTCACATAATAATTGTTCTAGTGAAATACGGAGTATGTTTCCTTTTTTGTGCAACGATTTAAACGTAATAATCCATAAACAACAATTCTTAGTTGCAGCGCCACTATATATGCGTTCACACTAGATTGTGTAATTTTGTTTATGGTTAAGATTTCGTTTAACTCTTTCTAAATGTGTGGTTATTACGCAATCTACCTCCTAAACCTTCCTAAACATCTATCGTACCCCACCAAATCCCACCCCCGCACTCCACCCTAACTCACCCCCTTTCACCCCTCTAAATGAGGTGTGATAGGAGGTTTATGGAGAAGGATAGAAACCATCAAATTTTTATTTGGAGTATCAGATGAGTTCAAAATAGGTGATTGTCATCCGTTGACACTATACTAGATGATAGTGTCAATGGAACCTTGTCGTTTTAAAAATAAGAGGTTATGTGATTATTTTGCTTAGATTTGATGGAATGGAAGAGATGAATTACTCTTTATGTATTAAAATACTAAATCAAAAAATTTATAAAACTAATGATGACATGAAATGACTACCGAAAAAAAAGAAAGAAAATAAATGAAATTTGACCATATAAATAGTAAAAGAATAATTTAATTTAAGACGGAGGGAGAATACTCTATGCTCGGTATAAATAGGACATGGTATATATATAGTTAGATACCAATATTTCACACCACATACTCTTTCCGTACCCATTTTGGTAACAATTTATTTTTTTTCTTTTTTCGATAACTTTTATTTATTTGTGTGTTTTCATTGATTATTTGATAAAATAAAATTTTAATGTTACTTCTTAGTTTGTAGAATTGTGGACGTAAATTTTTTATATATAATTTTTATTTTTTATCAATATATTAATTTATAAATAAAATAATTTCAAAATGTTATGAATGTTGAATTCGATTTTGTACTCAAAGTATAAGAGTTGCTTTGATATGAAGTGAGATAAGGGTGGAGTTTCGTTGCTGCTGTGTTTGCCCCCACAGTTGTCATTTTATTTCTGATGTGCCACTCGTGTTTTGTCCGTTTCTCCTGATGGACTTTAGCTCAGACATTTTGCACTTGGATAATCTTTTTCTTTACCACTTCAATTTATTTAGGGCTAGCTTCTAGAGCCACTCATAAAAACTCATAAAAGAGTGGCTACAGAAGTTACTAATCTAATTGGGATGGATAGTCATGGTGCTTTATTCGTTAAATTGATAGTTCCTAATTCTTTCTTATCTAATCCTTTGGTAAACCCCGGCCTCCACCCGATCCCGACCATTACTCACCCCCTAATCACGTCAATTGCGAGGTACAAGTTTAGTTGACTCTGGAGTCAACATTACCGTAGGTGTCCCAATTGGGTGAGTGGCTTCCGTAGCCACTCTTTTTGAGGGCTCTAGAACCCCGCCGTTTTTAAAAAAATTTTGTATATAAATTTATGAGCAATGTTAGGGGTACACCAAAGGTGTACTCCAAATATACACCACCCCTTCTCCATCATCCATTTTTATTCGATTTTTATTTATTTTTTGATTTTCTTGCCCAATTATGTGGACAAAGAGGGGATGAGGGACAAATGGTCTAGCATTTTTCAAATTTGTTTGCTTAATAGATACATGACATATTTAAATAAATTACTCCATAAAATGAAAATAATTTCAATCAAAAATTATATGCCGAAGAACGAAATCTTTTTCTACAACAAAGAGTATGTAAAATATAAGTGACACTTGTACCCGGGTACACCCACTTGTGCAAGTATATATTCCCTCCGCCCCAAAACTAGTTTCACTCATAATTTATTAAAATAATAATATAGTCATATTATATTTTAATTTATAGAGCATTTAATGTAGTTTTTGATATATTATTTTAATTAAAAATACAGAATATATCATTATGTAAATGAATTGAATTAAAAATAAATTACACAACCATCATAATCGGAAGTAAAGTTTTAGGACAGAGGAAATACTTGTGCTCCATTATTTTTGTCCCGAAATTATATCACACATCCTTTGTTCATTTGTCTTAAAATAAAGTTTAAGCCCGTTTCGAATTCCGGCAGGTGTAATGTGTGAGTTGTATTACATAATGATTTTCTTCTTTACAGTTATATCGGGCTAGAGTGTGGGGGGTGCTCGAGGTGACCGTTCCACCTTTAAAAAAAATAAAGTTTACATTTCTCTCTTCTTTGAGCAAATCTTAATTCTTATCACACAATTTTTTTTATAATTAATTTAATTTGGATAGAGAGATTTTTGTTCCCATCCCACAAAATGGAGCATATAACAACAAGCAGATCGCCTTCCTGCGCTTTATTCTATTCTATCCTCTCTTTCTCTCTCTCTTCTACCCCCATGTGCCAACAACACCAACCAACTGCAGATTTGTATTTTTATACATGGCGATGACGATGGCGATGATGAATCAATGGATGAATATGAGTAAATACTAACAAATCCAGATAAGTCGGTGGCTGAGAGAGAACCTCCGATTCTCCCTATGCCGGTGCCGGCTTCCGAAGCTTAAGCGAGTCAACTCGCCCGCGTCTCGCCCTCGGAGGATTCGAGTTGCCGGAGTGGAGGATCGCAGGGGTCTGCGTATTGGAGAAGAGGTTTTAGAGAGACTGAGGAGGGAGGAGGAGGAGGATGATGAACGCGACTGGTTACGGCGGATTTGAAAGAGATTGCTTGAGGAAACACCACGCGCACGCGCCGGCGGAGAATCAATGCAGCTCCTTTCTGATCAGGCACATCAAAGCACCTGTGAATCTCGTTCGCTACTTTCCTCTCCATCTCTCCTGCTTTTGTTATGTTAATAATTTGAAATCGCGCCTCTCTGTCTGTGCTTGAGTTTTAATAATTCCCTTAGGTCTCCGTGCACACCGCAGGCTGACTCCTCTCTGTAGATTTGATCAAATTTCTTTCGCTAAATGCTTTCAAATATGTTCAGTTTTGTATCCTGAGTGTTTGGATGGTTCATTGATTTCGCTCTTCATTTCTTCATCGCTTGTAATTTAAGGTTTTTGAGATTTATCATTATTTTTTTGGTTGAAAATTGAGATGCTTCTCCTTCACAGTTAGATTGCTCCTCTTATATGTTCTGTTTCTACTCTGTGCATTTTTTGATTTTATTTTGACTGGCTGGAGCTGAAAATGGGAGAAATTAGTCGAGTTAAGAACTGAAAATTTCACCTTCTCTTCAAGCTTTGGTCAAAAGTGGCAATGGAAGAATGAAAACCAATGAACACAGTTTTATCTGAATTTTTGTGTGTTTCTAGATGAAGTGCATAATAGGACTGGAATTGAAACAGTGCAATCCAATGGGAGACAGACAGATCAGCTGTCATCCATACAGATTACACATATATTTCATGCTCATAATATTTTTAAAGAATGTAGAGATTGTTGCTATTAACAGGTATGGTCATTGGTGAGAAGGTTCGATCAGCCACAGAAGTACAAACCCTTCATCAGCAGGTGCATTGCCGAGGAGAGCCTTAAGATTGGTAGTCTTAGAGAAGTTGATGTGAAGACAGGCCTTCCTGCCACGACAAGCACCGAAAGGTTGGAGGTTCTTGACGACGACGAGCATGTCCTCAGTGTGAGGATTGTTGGTGGCGATCACAGACTTCGTGTATGTATGCTTCAAGCCTTCAACAACTAATGCACTCAATCTCTTCTCTAAGTGGAGTATTTCTCTTTGATCCCTCATTTGGATTTCTTCTTTTTTTTTGCAGAATTATTCATCGGTCATCTCTGTGCATCCAGAGGTTATAGATGGAAGGGCTGGAACGCTGGTGATCGAGTCGTTTGTGGTGGACGTGCCAGAAGGGAACACGAACGATGAAACGTGCTACTTTGTTGAGGCATTGATCAAATGCAACCTGAAATCTCTTGCTGATGTTTCTGAACGGCTTGCTGCAGCAGTCCAGGACGGCATGCCAGAAGATGAAACCATAGACACTGTTGGGTAAAAATCCGGTGGCCGTGACCGCTTATGTGTATATGCTTGACACATTTGGGTGTTTCTTTGGTTAGCTTTGTGTTTTTGCTTAGGTGTTTGTCCATGTTCCTACTAGGTTAGGTTTTTCAAGTCCCACGGGCTCTCTGATTGATTTAGACACCACCACCCCATTGAATTAGAGGTGTTAAACTTTTAGTAGTAAACAAGAACGTGGCCTGTGCGTCGTTTTCTTTTTAGAATTATTGTGCAGTTTGATTACATGTGAAAATCTCTTGCTTAGTTACAATTGATTGTGGTTGGTCCTTATAAACCAGCAATGGATATAACCGAATGAAAACTGTTAGAATTACAAACCCAAAAAAGTCAAAAAACAAAAAAGGCAAAGTCTTCATACATATTGATCTCAGCCCAAACTCTTGGTGATACAATGATACATGAAGGGTTCGTTTGGCTTGTTGTAGAAAATGAGAAGTAATTATGAGGAAATGAATACGTTTGTGTACAATAATGTCAAATGCCCAATGACTGTACATGTAATTTGCCCAAAACACTGCACTAAAGTTATAGAACAAAAATACAATTTGATCCAATAAAAAAAAAACTAGTCCATTCCAATCAATCTATTGCACCCATCCCCATCCTCCCGCCTAAAAAAACGACAAGAATTCATATATCATTTGAATAAAAATTGATGTACCGAGTCGTTGCCCCGCCGAGAGTCTCCCCTCCGAGCAGTTGAAGCTAATGCCAAACGGACCCCACACACGTAGAGAGGAGCCAAATCTAAACCAACGCAAGTTCCTCATCCTCTTGTTGTTGGTGTTCTGTACTATCTGCAGAGGGTTGAGCTTCACCATAAGGAAGGAGAATTTGCTTTATTTCTTCGGCTTTCAATGTCTCGTGCTCAAGAAGAGCTCTGGCCAAAGCATGTAATGCCTTCTCATGCTGTAAGCAAGCAAAACAAAAAAATTGTTCTTTTCATCATTGGAGCAAGCAAATCACAATATATATGATATTGCAAAGAAAAAAAAAGGTCAACCTTTTTTAGGAGAACCTTCACACGGTCGTAAGCTTCTCTTAAGAGTTTAGCCACCTGAAAATGACCCACAAATGCAATGTCATCGACCTATAAGGGTTAACTCGTGACACCAAATACAAATTACTAAAAAAAAGAACACGCACTTCGGCATCAATGCGCGATAGCGTATCTGCACCCGCCCGTTCTTTTATATGAATCGGTCCGATCGTGTCACTCATCCCACAAGATGCCACCTATGCCAGCAAAATAGCCCAAAAAAGAATCATTTAGGGATGAAAGTGAAGAGAAAAACATGCAAAGAAAGGTGTGTAATGTGTACCATGTAACGGGCGAGTTCAGTAGCAGTCTGGAGATCACTGCTTGCTCCTGTGGTGATATGGTCTTGGCCAAAGACAAGCTCCTCAGCAGCTCTCCCTCCCATACAAACATCAAGCCGTGCTAATAGCTGTTTTTTGCTGACTGAGCTCTCATCATCTGAAGGGAGCTGTGTCACCATCCCCAAGGCGGACCCACGTGGCATTATCGTTGCCTTATGGATTGGGTGTGCACCTTCCGTGTTCATTGCAACAATTGCATGTCCACTCTCATGATACGCTGTTAGCTGAAATGAACCCAAAAATCATCATATTGATTATTTTTTTGCTTAAATAATACTCCCTCCGTCCCGTTTTAAATCGTCTGTTTTGATTTTTGAGCATATTTAAGGAAAAGAAAAAATAGAATTGATTTTCCAAAATTGTCAGTACTTTTTAGAAGGGATGACAATGAATGAGAAGATAATGTGGAGAAGAGTGACTTATTTTAGAGGTAGTTTAGGTATTTTACTCTTAAAAGTTGACGAAAACAACTAACAGGCAACTTATTTTAGGACAGAGAAAAAAAGGCAAACATGCAATTTAAAATGGGAAGGAGGTAGTGTTTTTTCAGCCTCTCTACTTTCAAGTAGTGGTGGGGATAAGGTCTGCGTACAAACACCTCCCCAAACCTTACTTTTTTGTGGGATTTTAAATGGTTTGTTATTGCTTAAATGTATTTTTGGCCATGGAAAAAATACCCTTTTTTATTCTGGTCCCTGTAAATAAGTAAATTTGTTAGTTTGTAAAAAATTNCTTCTTGGACTCTTCAGATAGAAACATAGTCTTCCGCTCTGTACCCATCATTATCCGGTCTTTTGCGAACTCCATCTGTGAAGCAGTTAACTTCTCAGCACCTTCAACAGCAGCCTTAATAGCAGCTATATTCACCAGGTTTGCAAGATCTGTTTGGGAATGAAGTTTTTCAATAAGCCAACTGAGAGAAGAAGAAAATAAAGAATTTAATAAAACCACATTTATATATATATACACCTGCCCCATTGAAGCCTGGTGTTCCACGAGCAATAGCATTTGCATCAACATCAACATCAACAGGTTTGTTCTTTAAGTAGAGTTCTAGTATTTCTTGACGACCTCGAACATCTGGATTTGGAACAACAATCTGAAGAAGACAAAAAAAACATGTGAATTGATACTAATCTCTAGGAAAGATGTCACACAGGTGAAGATACTTTCTCAATATTATACTAGCATAACATAAATGTAATGCACATGACATACTAGTGACCCCACACTATCTGGCATTTTATAATATTTCACAGAAATTAAGGAATGACATAAAAACACTTTTCACGGTTGATCTTTCATCTTTATGTATTTATATATAGAATTATAAAGATATAATATTTAAAAATTATACTTTAAGATGAATCCAATGATACCAAGTTTGCATTATAATTCAATATTTTTTTCTTAACTTTATGATGAAAATTTAACCATTTTGATCACAAAAAGTGAGACTTACATGTTTGTCGAATCTACCCGGCCTGGTTAAAGCTGGGTCAAGTATATCCGGCAAGTTTGTTGCAGCCATCAAGATAATACCCTACAAAAAAATTGTTTGAAGGCACTTTGAATTGCAGATTCAAAAGAGAACTTCAATTTATGCATCACATGTAATGATGAACCTAACCTCATTCTGTTCAAAACCATCCATTTCAACTAGTAATTGATGCAGCGTCTTCTTGGTGTGACCCTCCCATTGCTTCCGAGTTGACCCGATGGCATCAATTTCATCAATGAAAATTATGCAAGGAGCCTGAAGAGACCACCATGAATGTGAGAAAAAGTACTGGCATTTCAAACATACTCCCTCCCTCTCTAGATCAACTTGACACTTTGACTTCACAAAGTTTAAGAAAAGTGTTGAAAAGCAAAAGGCGTTACGTGAAAAGTCTACAGTTGAAATTTATTTGGAAGAGAGAAATAAAGAGTTTCACATATTTATTTTCTAAAAGGTAAAGTGGACTAGTGGATGAGTGTGAAGTTAATTTTTAGTCATCCAAAAATGGAAAGTATAAAGTTGATTTGGAGACGGGGGAGTATTAGAATAGCTTTCATATCATTAACCACAGAGACTCCAAATACATATACATTGAGGGGGACTATTTTAAAGATGCAATAGTGCTATGTTTTGAATTAGAGAAATTGTACGAAACTGTAAAACAATGCTACAGAAAAAAAAAACTTTTAAAAATGTTTGGCTTTAATTTAAAAGTTGCTACAAAAATTGCTCAAGCCTTTTTCTAAGTTCCAAGCAGAATCTAAATAGATGCAACTGTTGAAAGTGAGCAAAAACCTTCTTCTTAGCTGCTTGAAATAACGATCTAACACGACGTGCACCAACTCCCACAAACCTGCAGTAGAGAAAAGTCATGTTATTGGGTGATGCTAAATTGCTAATGAAGTAAAAGCTGCATATTTTCTTTAAATTCCAGAGAGAAGTTAGCTAACATCTCTTCAAACTCAGAGCCTGCTTTATAGAAGAAAGGAACCCCCGCTTCTCCAGCAATTGCCTGCAGATCAAGATGCATTGAAGATTAATCAGCAGGTGTATACAATTAGTTACAAGTACATCTAAATTCACGAAGGATAGTTGACTTCCACGATGAATGTTTTGAACATAAAGTTAATCAATCGAGTGATTTGAGATTTCGAGTCATAAATAATTCCCAAGTAACATAGAAGCCTTACTTTTGCCAGTAAAGTTTTTCCTGTTCCAGGTGATCCAGTCAAAAGAATGCCCTGAAAAGGAAAAGAAAAAGTAAAAACACATGAGGGTCTTGGTTTATTTAACAATTCTCTTCTGGAGTGCAAGTTCCTAGACTGCTAACATAAAATCTTTTGCCGACTTGATACGTACAAGATGAAATATGACTGAAATGCAAAAGGAAAAAATAAAACTTGAAAAGTAAAACCTTGGGCAATTTCCCCCCAAGCCTTGTGAACTTAGTGGGATTTTTAAGGTATTCGACAACCTCCTCGAGCTCCTTTTTGGCATCATCACAGCCTTTGACATCTTTGAATGTTTTGACATTCTGCAACAAGAAAAAAAATGAATATCATGATTAGGATCAACTCTTCTAGTCATACACATAACCAGGAGAAAGAATATACCTTTTCAGGCTTGATTTCCTTATTTGACTCTTTAGGGGAAAAAGATGAACTTGAACCAGCACCTGAAGCACCTACACCGCCTATACTACCAATATATTTTTGAGCGGCACTAGCCGTATACCTATGAATAAGAAAGGATGATGCATATCACGATAACTTTAAGTAGAATCCCATGCATCTATTACAATAGCATGCAGTAAAGAATGAGCTTTGAAGAGAATGATTACCATAGCAAAGCAACAGCAAGTGCAAACACGGAAGTGGAGAGAAGCTCATTAATAAAACGTGGTGATTTTTTTGACTCCTTAGGATCAACCTGATCACAAAAAAACTCTATATGAGCTACACAAACATATGAATGCACTGACATTTGTTCAACTATATACCCGTTCTTTACTAGTTGCACTATTCACATGCAGTACTTTGACCGTATTTTTTCAAGATACCATAACAACTTTGGATAATGTTTGCTAACATCTAATTAAATGCATTAATATTTAATAGTCAAAGTAGTGCACTGGAAAGTGTGAAAGTCAAATAGATATTGATTAATGCATCCATACTTATTCGGCTTCTTCCAATTATGATGAGAAGAATAAGCCAAATATGGTAAAGAAGCGGGCCTAAAAAGTTGCTCTAAAGAATGATATTGATTAATGCATTTCAATCTTTCTCGGATTTAAAGAAACATAATTTTAGTCATGACACATCTCAATATATCTTACCACGACAACATGTAATGGCTGCCTCTGAGAAACCCCAGGGTTCAAGATTGGATCATCCAAATTCCCTAAGGCACGTTGTTTCAACTCTTGTAACTGCATGCAGAAGCGTTAATTTAACATTAATAACAGAAGAGCGTGAATGGCAGTTTTGGAGTCTACAAAAATAACACTTTAACAAGTACCCACCAAGGAAGGAAGAGTAGAAGGCTTTCCAGAATCCTCATCTGGTAGAAACTCAGCAATAGCATTAGTGGCCACAAGAGCTCGGAGATATTCTGCAACTCCTCTACTGTCTACCGCATAAGCCCTATCTTCAAATCGGTTGATGACTAACTCCGGGCTGTTGAAAGATTGCAAAGCTTTAAAATGCTTCTCTTTTGAAACGAGCAATCAATTTGTGTAAAGAAGAAGATAACACATAACCATTAGAAATGTAATGGTGTGGCCATTTCAAATTCCACAGAAATTCAAGACAAAAAACACATGCACTACATGAAAGCAAATTTCACAGCACACCAACAACAACAATTCTTTAAAAAAATGGTATGGACCCAAATTGGATTAAGAAAGACTATGCATTGGATATAGGATCAAAGAAGAGCTCGAAGCGTCTAACCTGTCCTTATTCAGCTCAGATAACAATGCACTCTGCTTATTCGCATCATTGGGGTTAGCATCAGCATCTGCTATCAACAACTGCATTCTCTTTTCATGCTTCCACATTAGCACCCAATCGAAAAGCTCAGTCGGTAAAATCCACAGCAACCCTTTCTTAATCCCAGCAACCAATCCCAATAAGAACACCACAACCGGAAGCCTCTTTGCTTTCTCAACTAAACCCTCTGGTTTTACCTCTTCTTGCACTTCCATGGAGCCAATACTCCCCACCTCCGCCCCACTCTGGTCAATTTTGTCCAAAATTCTGCCGTCCCCTCCATCTCCGATTCTCAACTCAGTAACTTCTGGCTCTTCACGCGAAGAATTCACACTGCGGGGACGCACAGTGCAGCTGAGGGTCAATCTGAGCTGGCGAGAAAACCGATGCTGCTTCAAAGAAACAGCTCCAAGGCGGCTCTGGGAGGGCGAAGGGAAAGAGGACGAGAAAGAGAGCGGCTTGAGTAAAAGCGAGGTTTGCAGAGCAGTCGCGGTCATTGGGTCTCAATGGGAGGGGCCAAATTCCGGAATCGATTAGATTGAGACCGGCGGGATGGAGGGCTCCAGAGAAAGATTGAATCTTTGTTCAAAGAAATGAAAAGGAAAGCTTCTTTGGCGTTGGTTTTGATTGATGAAGAGACGATACAGAGGGGAAGAATCAGATTTCTTTCTTCGGTCGCGCGCTACCTGCTGCTCGAGGGAGACGAAGGAAGCGTGTGTGAGTGAGTGTTGGCCACAGCTCGCGAAGGAGATTTGGGGTTTTGATTGATAATTCTTTGATGGAGGGAGACACAAACAATGGAACCTTATCTTAAGCAGCAGCAAGGGAGAAATCTACTCCATAGAGACCATAGCATTCATTTCGCGCTTTCCTTGTAGGATATGACTATGGGAGGTGGGGGGTGGCACAAAATATAGAGTTCAGTTTTGATGATGCATTTGAAAATGCAATTATGGTTTTGATTTTACACACCCATTAGAAAAACTTTTTTTAAGGTGGAAATTAACAATGATATTTGGAGGGACAACTTATAGAGGATAAAGAAATGTAATAGAAAAATGATTCAAAAAAGAAATGAGAGGAAGGCCAGTCAGTGCACTAAAATAAGATGTATATGTAAATTGTGTACTTTGACGAAGAGTAAAAGTTACATTATGACAATAGGAAAAGAAACTTCACATCACAATCATTTCTGACCTTTAACCAGATATGTAGCTCGAGGTAATGTGATGAAATTTACGACCTTCTACCTTCCTGACGAGCCTCCACACTATTTGCAAGAGGGCACCATAAAAAATGTGATTAACCATCTCCCCATTCCACCAAACCCTCTCTGCCGCAAGAACACGAATGGTATTTACTATGTAGAATGCTTCATATCAATGTCCACACACGAATCTTTACCTTCGAGGTCGCTGAAATTTGCCGATTTTGTCAATTTCATATAAATTGAATGGGTTTAGCCAAATAAAGTGTGAATTTAGTACGTATCATCTAACTTTTAAGCTTTAAGCATGAGAAAGTAGTTCAAAAATTGAACAAAATTCTAGTGCAAACTTTAAAAAAAAACCTTACTACTCCCTCCGTCCCATTTTATAACGCCTGTTTCGGTTTACGATGTTTGACTAAAGTTATTTTCAAATCATTTTATATGACAAATGATATAAAATTAAAAAATAAAAATTACATATCAAAATACTACATCAAAAGATCTACAAAACTAGTAGTGACAACAATATTTTATTTTATCAAATTGCTAACGAAAATAGAGAAAGAAAGTGAATGAAGTTTGACCCTGTGAATAGTGAACATGCATTATAATTTGGGACGGAGGGCCCTCCGTCCCAAATTATAATGCCGGTTTACTATTCACAGGGTCAAACTTCATTCACTTTCTTTTTCTATTTTCGTTAGCAATTTGATAAAATAAAATATTATTGTCACTACTAGTTTTGTAGATCTTTTGATGTAGTTTTTTAATGTGTAATTTTTATTTTTTAATTCTATACCATTTGTCATATAAAATGGTTTAAAAATAATTTCAGTCAAACATCGTAAACCGAAACAGGCGTTATAAAATGGGACGGAGGTAGTACACAATTGTAAATTGTTGCTCCATACATTTCATAAAATATAGTCTTGTTCTCACTCCTCAATATATTCCTGTCCAAAAAAAAAACAATACAACTTGAAAAATATCAATTTTCACTAAAGAGACTGTGGAGAGGTCTGTCTTAGAAAAAAGGAAAATATGATATCAATAATCCCATGTTTAGACAGTCTTCTGAAAATGATACAAAAATACTAGATGAAACTTGTCCACTTTCTTAAACTCGCCACAATATAAAAAGCTGTGTACAAACATGACATTGTGAGCCTCTATGACAAGAAGACATCAGAATTAAGGCCACAAACACAAATAAGTTCAAATGTCCTACGACCGTTTAAGAGTAGAGGTTTCTCCTATTCCTCTTCGACAAGCGCTATCTTGGCTGGTCTGGTGGGGGCATGGCGGCTGTGTGTGGCGGCCCACTTTGGTCGTACATTTGATGAGCATTACTTGCATGGGGCATGGGGTATGGAGGAGGATTAGGCATCTGCATGGACATGTGCGTTGGTGGCGGATGCCCTCCTACAATATTGGAGGAGTTCCAAGACACCGAAGGCTGCTGAGGTGGCAGCGTTGGTGTTTGACCATCAAAGAATTGGGGGGCATATTGACCTCCGAACTGCGGTGGCTGTTGCCCTAGAATTGAGGGTTGAGCATTCAGCAGCAAAGACGCATTCGGAATTGTATAATCCCTGCCTCTGTCATTGTTTATCTGAAATCAAATGTTCGTTCATCATTATGAGTTATAAAAATCAGCAAATTACACTACTTCCTATTCCTCAATGGCATCTAGAAAACAGTGTCAGATAAATCAGAAGAACTTGTATGTAGGGAGAAAAAAAATAGCATGTTAATTTTTAATAAAAACATGAATTGGTGTACTATTGTGGTCCTTAGGTCCACATACAAAATGTAGACCTTTCACATATTTTCAATGGGCTTATAATTGGATCTCTTTAATTTTACAAGGCCCATCATATAAAAAATTTGTGTTTGAAGGTCCATGAAATGAGCATGGACCTAAGGACCACAAAAGAATTTGCGATCCTTTATTCAGCCAGATAAATTCTCTTGCCAAAAGGGGTTTTCTGGATTATTGTCCTGATTCAAAAGTACCTTTATACTAAGATCAGTGTGCCGGGAGTAAGTAATATGCAGTTTGCAATAACCTCCTTCATATATGCTATGTCCTTCCAAGGCCTCCTTTGCAGCAACAGCTGTCTGCACATCTGCAATACCATGCTTTTATGTTTATCTTGCCTTGAAAACAATCAATAGCCTTTACTATGTATTTAAGCTACACTTTAAAACCAATCCCCATTAAAGTAATGCGAATGAAAATTATTTTATCCAAAAATAAAGGAAATCGCAACAAAAAAGGATTCATACTAAAAATTCAGACAGCCATCTATTCAGTTAATTTCACTATTTATGATCGGAAAAAAAATATTAATTTTGTGATAAGAAATGCGTCACTTGTATAGGACTCCAAATGTATATGGTTTTGACAACCAACACCGACTCACTCAATACAAAGATACACATGAAACATCAAAGCAGTTGCAGGATAAATCTTGCCAGGATATTGGATCAAAGCCTGCAGGCCCCCGAGCTTATCAAACATGGCAATCTTTAAGATAGGCCCGAATGCTGCAAAAACCTAACCACCACCCATAAATAGAAACAAAATGAGCAATAAATATTTAGAAAGCTGTTTTGTTGTAGAACTTACAAAAAGCATCCTTTATTTTTTAATAGTGTTTACCGTATGCAAGACATCTAAGGTGACTGCATATTGCATGTTCTCAATAGAAGCAAGAAGAACATTGCTCTCAGGTTCTAGTTTCTTTCCATCTAAACCCACGATGAACTGTAATGGAAACAACAAAGGAATGTGAACAAGACTGCAAATCTAGAGTAATGACTCACACACAACAAAGAAACTGATCAATGACATCAAATATAGACACCACAAAAGTGAAGAGACATTATAGATAGATGGTAAACGATGAAAAGTGAATCTAAATTATGTAAAATATTTAGCCATATAGTCTCATGCCACATAGCTATCCATATTCAATCCCTTACTTGAGTGTTAACATCCATAGCTGAAGGAGCAACAGGAAGATTAGGATTGGTGTAGTCCCTAAAGCAAATAAAGAGTAAGATGGAGACAATGGGAAGAAAAAAAAAGAATTAACAGATAAATTAGTTCAAAAAAATAGACAAAAACACTAACAAAACAGAATGACATGATTATGGTCTTTGTCAGTTGTTACAACAACAAGCAAGTCCAAAATGTGAGTAATCAAATACAAGGTTACCTGCTACGATGACTCTGAAACTTTACAGTCAAATCAGTGTGTGCAGAATATGTAATTTTAAGTGAACATGGTCCGAGATCTGGAATTAAATAGCTGTAATACAAAGCAAAAACAAAAAAAAGGTAACATGAGAAGATTAATGTGCAAATGGTATATCAGCCTTTAAGCTCACACGGCAGAAGATTTATGTGCAAATGCAAAATCATACTTTTGTTGTCCCAAAATTAAGTTCAGATTATGACATTTCTGTTAAAGTTTATAAAATTTGATCATGATTTTCATTATAAATACATTGAGTTATGATGTGAACTCAACATTATTAGATTCATTTTGAAATGTAGTTTTAGAAAACCATTAGTTTATACTCCCTCCGTCCCGCAGTATTCGTCCAATATTCCTTTTTTTGCTGTCCCATAGTATTTGTCCACTTTCCTTTTTAGGAAACAAAAATAATATAGAATGACTCTTTTTCCCTCACCATTTACTCCATTTCTCACCTTTATTCAAATCCAATAACAACAAAATCGACGCTTCCAGATCTCCACTTCCGTCTCTATCACCTTCCTAAGCGCCGCCCGGCCCGTTCATCTCCGAAGACCCAAAAGTTCTCTGCTTGCTGGACGGCAAGAGCTTTCCCACGCTCTTTGACGTCTCTGTCGTAAAGAAGAGGGACGTTTTCACCGGAACTTACATACCGTCGCCTGAACTCACCGGAGGGCACCGGATTTTGTCGTACATTGACCCGTCGGAAGCCGACCATGCTAAATTGAAGAACTTCATGTTCTTTCTCCTCTCCCACCGCCGTGAGAAACTCATCTCGGAGTTCCACGACTGTTACTCCAAGATGTTTGACGCTCTGGAGAAAGAAGTGGGGGGAAAGTCAGATTGAACGCCGCTAATGATCTAGCGGCTTTCAATTTCTCGGCTAGGGCACTCTACGGCGAAGCTCGGACTGGAGGCACCGAAGCTAATCAGAAAATGGGTTCTGTTCAATCCCCACCCCGTACTCAGCCTCGGACTCCCAAAGCAGATTGAAGTCTGGGCGGTGGGAAAATAGAGCGAGACGGTGGAGGATGCCGGGGATGAAGATTGTTTGGGAGGCCAAACGAGAAAGAGATGCAAGTGTGCTGGTTAGTGCAGGGGTAATTGAGTCATTTAACTTAGTTTCTTGGTTTTTGGTCCAAAACAAAAGTGGACGAATATAGCGGAACGGAGGGAGAAATATTTATTTATATATAATTATAAATATCAATGATCACTTCAAAAAAAAATATGTCAATGGTCAAAGTGTTGCATTAAAAACCTTGAAAGACAAAATGGAACTTAGTTTTGGGAATATACCTTACTAATTTGAAAAGAATAATAACAAAAAGAGGTTTGTCATTTGAATTTAAGACATCAAATATCCCAGATATAAATCATAATGTGCTGCATTTATGAAGCATGTCTCAGCAAGGACCTCTTCCAACCCAAATGACTAATATATGAGTCCTTTTATGTCAACTGTCTTAAGCTAAGTTCAAATTGGGGTGAATCCGGTGATTGTTTGTCGACCAGCTCACTTGAAAATGAAAAGAAAATTAGATTGGGCAGATCTGGAAAAACATAAACGAGAGATGAAAAAGGTAGAGGAGCATGCATATCAGCATATGTGCCCCTCATGTTGATTCTTAAAAAGGCTCTTGAAAGATGTCCACTCGGCCACTCCCAATGAAATTGCAGCACATCTACAGATAATGATTCATAACAGTTGGGTATAGACCTGGCAAAACTGACCCGAACCCGATAACCCGAACCGAATAACCCGGAACCGAACCCGGTTTGACCCGAAAACTGAAGAACCGAAATAGAACCGAACACCCGAAATGATCCGAACCGAACCCGAATCGAATGTATTCAGACCCAATTCAGATCCGAATCCGATTAAACCCGAACTGATAAAACCTGAACCCGGTTAAACCCGGAACCGATTAGAACCAAAATTGATAAATTTTATGTACGTCCGTGTTAAATAATAAGATAACTACGGAGTATATCATAAATTGATTAAATTTATTATGTGATATTATTGATTTAATAGTAAATATTTAAAATATATCTGAACTAATATAAACCTAAATCGATACAAACCCGAATCGATATAAACTCGAACCGATAGTCCGATACAAACCCGAACCGATAGTCCGATACAAACCCGAACCGATATAAATCCGATCAGATACAAACTCGAACCGATACAAGCCCGAACCGAAACCAAAAACCAGTCAAACCGAAATAAACCCGGAACCGAACTGACCGACCCGAACCGACTCGGACCGATTATAACATATATCCGAATGAGACCCGAACCGAAAAGACCCAAACCAAAACCGAACCGATTGACCCGATTGCCAGGTCTAGTTGGGTTACATTCCAATTTGAAATATAAATCCAAACATCACCTTGGAATGCTTCTTCCATCAAGAGCATCCTTTGCAGAAGTAGCAGTTACTGCATCAGAAAATTGCACCAAAGCCTGAGGAAAAATTTGCAAGCAATTAAACTTTAGTACCTTAAAGCAGGGGAAGACATACAAACTACCAGATTGGTTATCCTAAATATGCACACCTGAAATCCAGCTGTCTTTTCAAATGTAGTAATTTTATGGACAAACCCAAAAGCTGAAAACACCTGAACAATATAAAGCTTTAAGAAAATTACACGCAGAAGTGAAAATGAAGACATACTACCATGGTCTTTCTGAAGAAAATACATGCAGAGAAGTTTTCTACTACCTGAATGCTAGTTCAAGGATTACATAACAGGCCACATAATTGTGCATGATACACATAGAGCAAAAATACTAATTGAAGAAATATTGTGTTTCTCCCACTGTGCGTGAGAAAGATTTTCTACAATGTTTTTGCCTTTTCTAATATGGGAAGAGCCAAGTGATTTGGGTAATGTCAACTGGGTAAAAAAGAAGAAGAAAAAGAATAGAGGAATTCGACATCTAATGCCTTTGGCAAAAAGGCACCAAAGGCACATGCACATGCGTAAAGAAAGTATTTGGCTAAAAATACTAAAATTTGCACCAGATAGTAAGAATACATCTTACGCAAATGATTATTTGGCTCTACTAAGTTTCAGTTATGCATTTGGTTGCTTTATGTTACTGCAGGGATATCAGCACCCACCGACCCAACACCACATGTGTTATAAAAGAAGTTGAGTTTCCACATTCTAAGAAAGTCAGGAATTAGGATAAGTAGATGAGGTTAAGAACGGAAGGAAGAGTCAGTGGTAAGCAAGAGAGAAAGGAGACAAACACACATGTTCTCTCTCTCGATGCAATATGCTGCCATTGAAGTTTTCCTTGACATGGGGCCTGCTAATCCATTTGCATTTATGTCAAAAGATGCAAAAGGAAACATTACATGCTACAGTATAAGCAGCAGTTCATTGAGATGATTTATTCTACTAATAAAATCATTTTACTTCAGACCATGAGCATACTACAAAGAAAATACATAGCTAATTACCAAGTGCAAAACATCAATGCTAACAAGCCGAGCATCATTTCCTTCAATTGTTGCCAACAGTACATTTCCAGCAACATCTGCGGTAGTCTTATTGTTCACTATTTCTTGTCTATTTGAATATTGTAAGTAAACTTGTTTCCCTCGCACTTGAGCAGGTTCTGATGAAGAAGCATAATATGATATCATTGAAATAGCTTGGTTTAGTTCAGCCTACAACATCAAGATAAGCATACATGAATACCATTATACCAATATATACAAAAAAAACATATGTATAGAAGGAAAGGAAAGCTCACAAATTCGATGAAGGCTTGGTTTCTATTTGCCCCAACATTGCACTTTGTGTTGACAACTTTGCCGAATGGCTTCCCCAGTTCTATAAGTTCCTCCTCTACACACTCCCACGGTAAATTTCTTAAATGGAGAACCTTCGATGGTGGCTGTGTGTAACGGAACTGAGGCTGGCTAGACACTGATGACATTTCTGTGCTGCAAACTCAACCTATATAGAGCAGAAAAAGTGAAATATATATTCATTTCCTTCTGGTAAGCATTATGTATTTCGATGCCATCAATCTATTCAATAATGCAATTTGCTTTGCACACTTTCAAAGTAAACTCTCTGGTAAAGAAACATACATCCATGTTGATTGCTAAACGTGTATCAGTCACATATTTATAAATTGCTTCAATATTTAGCCTTGTGTAGTTGTGTGGTTTCCAATAAAACTTACAATTTGAAGTGGAACTTTTGCAGAGAATCAATTTATGGAAGGTGCCAGGTGGGCAGTGGAGGGCTCTCTAGCGCATAGACTGACGGCTGACGCTAGACACTTCCTTAAAATAGGCCAGGCATATATATATATATATATATATATATATGCATATATATATATATATACACACACATACATACATACATACATACATACATACATACATACACACACACACACACATATATATATATATACATACACGGTTTTTTAGACTAAAAAAATAAAAATATGAAAGCATCTATTAATGAATATTGATATTAAAAAACTATTTATTATATAAAGAGGAGCATTTCAATTATGTGTGTCATTGTGTGTATGTGATCATAAATTAAATACTGCAAAAAAGCCAGTTACGAATTAATGGTTTAGTGTTTACAAAATAGATAGATACCATATAAAATATCATGTTATAATTAATATATGCCTATTATCAACTTATAATTGTATAATAAAAAAATGTCTAAGTAAAGAAAATTTCATTCAAGCTAAGATAAAATTTTATGAACATCATTTGAGCATCAGGGACACATTGTGCATTGGGCTGCTCTTTTTAAGCCAAAAATAAAAATTACACATTAAAATAGGCGATGCCAAGGTGTCCATGCCGATTATTGAAACACCTACACTAAAATTGATGGGTTTAGCATGGAGACGACTGCTTAACTCAGTTTTTAGAACAATGCGGAGAACTACACACAGAAAAACTAAAAGTAGTCCAATAATAGCTAATTTGTGGTTCACATTTCGAAATAACAAAATTAAAACTTCTCAAACCCCAAGCAAATAATGGAAAGGTGAAAACAGCTTGTGCTTTCACTTATAAATTGAGCTAGAAATTTTCACTTTCTTCACACCAGCAATTCAACATGCTAAACAATTAAAACAAAGGCATTTTAATGAATTGGATGCTCCTAATTTTATTTCAAAGAGGAACTGAAAAAAACACGAATTCAATACACACGAGCCAAAGCAGTCTGTTATAAATAAACAAATAGAAAATATAAAAAATATGAGGTCTAGAAGAATATCGTATGGTGTTCACAATCGAAAAATTTAGGATCGATCTTAAAATTCATTAATAGTGCAAGCATATTGCCTTTCATATCAGGATAATTGAAAGAGGTGGTAATTTTCGTTCGAGAAAATTTCACAAGCTATGAAGCTGAAGCAGATAAGAGTGAAGATGGAGTACCAGGATGAACGGCGAACAATCGGATCGGAGAGGAGGCCGGAAACTCGAAGGAAATCTTGTTGAAATCGGGGACGCTTCTCGATGTGGAACAAACAATCTAGAGTTGGCTTTACGGACCCGACCAGAGATGCTCAGATAAAATTTTAAAACTAATTTCTTTTTAAATATAAATAAAATAAAATTTATATATTTAAAAAATTCCAAACTCCATAAAATTTTTATAAAATAAAGAGTCTCTTCATTTGGATTGCAAATTTTAAATTCCAACCTTTTTAACTCTTTACAATTTTTTAAATTTCTTCCAATTATTTCTATTTTTTCTAACAATTACTAGAAAAGTATTTATATATGATGAAGATATAATAATATCATACATCCAAATTTATAACATATTAATTTAAATATGGACAAAGTTGAAGTCTTTTTTATCTAAACTTGATTTTTTAACATATTTATTTGGTTGATCATTTAATCGATTGATTTTTAACATTTTATTTTTTTAATACTCGTATTTTCTAACTTCTTCCAATTTTCTCAACACTTTCCTGTTTCTACAAACTTCTTCCAAATTTTGTTAATTTTTTCCAATTTATTCTAATAGCCAACTATGTTTTTACTTTTTAAAACACAGAAGAATAGAGCCAAAATATACAGATTTTAAAATGTAAAAAACGAGTTGTTGAGAATGTTGTTGAAGGACGCGATGTAAGTAATTATAATGCTCTCTAAAAACCTTTTCCGTTTTGATTTTTTTGTCAAACGATGATACTTTTTTACCATAAACTAAACATAATCTAAATACATAAATTAAATAAAAATTTGATATATCAAAACTATATCCTATGATGAAGTCAATTATATTGAATTTGCATTATAATTAAATATATTTTTCTTACAATTTATGATCAAAGAGTATTACTATTTGACCGAAAAATCAAAACGGGGAAATTGTTTAGGACCGAGGGGGGAGGAGTAATAGACAATGCCACCAAAAATATTTATTGGCGTTTCTTTGTGATTAAAAGCCAGAAATAGTAAGTCGTACTTACTTATCTTTAAGTCAATTTTTTCGTTTCTCCGTTTTGACCAGGTTACGTACAAAATTACCCGTTAACTATTATGAATATCCTCAAATGACTTATATATCCTTTAAGTCATTTTCTTTGCATAAAAGAATTTTTAACTTATAAACAACTTAAAAGTTAAAAATCGCTTATAAGCAATAAGTCAATAACAACCCGCACAGAGAAACACCCGCTAATATGTACTCGCTAAATATTACTCCGTACTTTGTACTAGGTCTAGGTCAAGTCAATGGTATGACCTTAGAGTTATTGTCAACTATTTTCATAAAAGATATCAGTATCGCATCTTCTAACAATAATGTCAATTCCTTTCTTCCTACATTTAAAAAGCATGGTTACATTCTGTTTTCCAGAATTTTTAATTTAAATATTTTAATTTTTATTTTTAAATTTTATATCAATGGTTAAATAAATTTAATTAAAAATAAATTTGATCAAACTCTAAAAACATACATTTATATAAATATTGATACAAAATTCTAAAAATAAAATTTACGGGTGTATGTATTTTAAAACTTTGTCAAAGCTTTTGTAAAACTCAAAATGACAATTACATTATTTTAACAAATACGTAGTACTCCGTAAACTTTTCTCCTAACTTGAGTGGCAAAAAGACCATCCCAAAGGGTCTATGTGCTCCGAATCATTGAATAGGTTAAAACTTGAAACAAATGTATGGAACCGACAATACTCAATAGATTGAGTAGTACTCAAAAAAACAAAAATAATTTGAAAGAAGAAGCAAAAATTTAACCCGTGAAAAACGTACTAGCACAAATTCTATCCGAAGAAGGAAGTATAAACCACACACTTTTTCTTTAATAAAAATTAAAGAGTGCAAAAAAATGTGAACTTTTGAAGTAAATGCACCACATAAGACAATAGTTATCAAAAAAAAGTTTGTGTAATACTGAATGATGAAAAGTCACAAAACAAAGAAAGCAGCGCCAATTGTAAGTGTCACAATGTGCTTCATTTTTTTGAACTAAAGACATGAAATCTCCCACATATTAATCAATCACAATGTGTTGCATCAAGGACCTCTTCCACAACCCATTACCAAAAAATTAACACTATTCTCAATACCCAGAAATCCACAAAAGCGTCAACCAGACCAACCGACGGTCTTGTTGCTCATGATACCAAAACTTGGCGCCTCCCGCTCAACTTGAGGCGGAGGCCTAAACTCCCTCGGCTTGGCGGGGTCCACAAAAATGACCCAACCATCCAAGTACTTCGCATTCAGTCCTTCCCGGGCTTTTTGAGCCTCTTCAATCGTTTCGTAGGCAACAAACCCAAACCCCTTGGACCTCCCGGTAGCTCTATCTGTAACAACTTTGGCCTCAGTGAGATTCCCAAATGGCTCGAATGCTTTCCTTAGGCCTTCGTCTGAAGTGTGTCTAGCGAGACCACTGATGAAGAGCTTAGAGGTAGTCAGGGTTGAACAGAGTCGAACCGCAGCAAGTTGAGATACATGGTTTGGTGAATGTGCCAAACATCCCCCTAATATACCGCGCAAAGCTGAGGACAATGCCATTTTCTAGGATGCCGGAGAAACCTGATATATATTGAAAAAACACAACTTTCTTTAAGTAATACGGAGTACATAATATTTCGTCCACTTTCCTGTTTTTGTGCATCTGGAATTAGTTGTTTACTTCCCACATTTACTAAACACATTGTGATATACCGAGTATGGAGTATTCTAAAATACCCTAGTACCCTTCGGATGACATATTAACATTGTGGATATCAATGAATGTCAAACGCATTTAAATGGCTTAGTTTGCATTTGTGTTCGCCTATAGCTCTCTATTTCGTGTGAATCGTCTGCTTCATCACCAGCAGCTCCATTTGAAGGGTTGGAGCTACTGTGGGTTCTTTACCAAAAATATTCTCTATATAGAAATACGTAGTATTACATAAGTTTCCCCTTTTCCAAATATTCTCCAACTTTTGAAAAAAAAACCCTTTGTAAGTAATTTTACATCACAACAAAAAGATTTCAAACAAACCTCTAAAATTCAAATTTCTCAACATCCATCCTAATTGTGACAACAATAATGACACTACAAATAGTGGCATATTCTTGGATGGACCTAAAATCTATAATAGACCTATATCAGACAAATGAGCATTTACCTACTACTAAGATAAACTTTTTTTGCTACTCACTCCCTCCCAAATTAAATTATTTGTTTACTATTCACATGGTCAAAATTCATTCACTTTTTTCCCTATTTTCGTTAGTCATTTGATAACACAATGTAGTCATGTCATCACTACTTTTGTAGATCTTTTCAAGTAGTTTTTAAATATGCAATTTTTATTTTTCAATTCTATACCATTTTTCATATAAAACGATTTGAAAATAACTTCAGTTAAACATTGTAAACCGAAACAGGCGCTTTAAATTGGGAAAGATTTGAAAATAAATTCAGTCAAAGATTTGCTTAGACTCAGATGATTTGAGCTCGTGCTGGGAAGGGCATGTTCTGCCCTTGCGTAGGATTTAGTGCCCTATTTTGTTGTAGTTAGGTGGGTGCTTAGTCCTATATTTGTACATCTTTTTTCTCTCTTTTTATCTTTCATTGATTTCTATTCTTAGAGTCGGGCTTCTCTTGAAAACAACCTCTCTATTCCACAGGTAAGGGTAATGTCCTAATTCCCCGTATTCTACCGGGTTTGTTGTAAATTACATACTTTTAAACAATTTTCTTAAATTCCAAGAAGTCAACCGGTAAATCTTCATTTCGGGACGAACAGAGTATTTTGAAAAGTGGACAACCAAACAGGGATGATTTTTTGAAATGCCCTAAATTTTTAACTGAGGAAACACAGATTCGATACACGCACTCACAGACAAATATATTGTAATTTTATAAACATGCAAACAAAAAAAACTGAATTAGTGTAGATTAGCGTTCAGATTTGCAATTCCGAGGATGGATCTAAATATTCATTGACGATACAAACATTTTGCGTTTCGTAACTGAATAACTGAAACAAATAAGAAATTTTCGTTCGAGAATACTCTTTGAGTTGGGAAGTTGAAGCATAAGAGGGTGAAGAAGATGAAGTACCTGGATGAACGGCGAGTTCTGGAATTGGAATCGGAGAGGAGGCCGGAAACTGGAAAGAAGGATTGTGAAAATTTTGGTGGAGAAGCAATTATAGTTGGGCTAGAATCTTTAGAATAAATGATGGGGCTCCTTTAGTTTCCGGCCCAACCATATTCAAGGGCTTAGACTATAAATAGGCCTAAGCCTGTTTTTATACGGAATATTTCTTAAGTTTGACCGTTTTCTCGTTTTGAATTTTACTTCGTAGTTTTTTTTTTGAATAAATTCTATAACTGGTCTTTTATAACAAAAGGTTTTCCAACTTAGTCTTTTATTATCAAATATTATTTGAGTGAGGATAAACAAATCTTGTTTTATGAATGCGCCTATACCAAATGCATTCAGGTTAGTGTTGGCAGTTGGCTACAGCATCAATGGAGGGCAACAAATGATGATGAGATGCTGAATGAAGTCAAACAGATCAAGGGCAGATTGAAGAGACAAACGATGGCAGATGGATGTGCAGCAGCTTGTTATGCAGTGTGGAGAGCCCGTAATCTGAAAATTAAGCAAGATCAAGTTATCCTCCTGGATGATTGGATTAGGGAACATGTACGCATTTACATTAACACTAAGTTAAAGAGGGTGTGGCTGAAGTAGGTTAGTTAGCCTATTTTCCTAGTATTGTGGTGAATAAAATTTTGTGCATTGGTTCAAAAATATTATTTCAGTATTCCTTCTTTTACAAAGTTCTTTCCACATATAGTCTTTTTCTTAATCTTTTGTCATAATGGTGTTAATTTGAGAACTAAAAGTATCATTTTACAATGATCATGCAACATTTTTGTTATACACAATTCATCTGTCATAATTTAAGTTAGTATTTACACAATCAAATTTTAAACATGTTTGATCTATTTTTGCAATTCATTTGATAAAATAATATTGTCTTCTCACTTTTTACTTTGTTGAATTTTTTATGTAGTTTTTAAATATATAAATTTATTTTTTTATTTTTTACTAATTTTTAAATAAATTCAATTGAAAATAATTTTGATCAATTTTCTTAAATAACAACATGCGACTCTTTTTTGGACTAGACTAACCAAAATAGGGAGTATATAAATATTTCTCACCTATATTTCACAATTAAATTGATTTTGAACTTAAGAAAAGTATTAAAAGTGGGAACATGTGAAAATTTATTTCGGGAGATTTTCCATAACAATGGATTAAATTTATTTTGAGAGAGTTCCTATGACATTGGATTCTTTATTCATGAGATAACCTGGAGCTAGGGATGTAAACAAAATCAAATATTTTAAATTCGAATCGCGATTCATATTTGAATATGATGATTCGAATTCGCGTTATTCAAATATTATTTTTGATTTGAATATTAATCAAATACAAATACAAATAGGGATATATTCGATTCGGATGATATTCGAATATTCGAATATATGCATATATACACAGACCATGTTTTCAATATCAAAAGTCAAGCAAAGTAATATACGGAGTAGTATCAAGTGTATTTAAAATATTAAGAATTCAATAAATTAACGTAACACAAAAATCTAAAGCATATGATTTTTAATAGTTATATTTTATAAAATATAATTTGTGTAAGATGCAAATGTATTAATGTTTTTATATAGGGAATATAGTATAGTATAAAGAGTATCGTAAGTTAAATTACAAATTGATGTTGGTCCATCATATAAATTAATAAATTACATAGTATGATTATTCAAATATTCGTTTATGATTCGATAACTATTCGAATATTAATCAAATATTTATTCAAATCTTATTTTGAATTCGTCTCATATTCGAATTCGGATTCGTATTCAAAAAAACTAAACAAATACAAATTCAAATATATCGGTATTCGCTTCGATTCGATTCATTTACATCCCTACCTGGAGCCGATATGGTAGCACGTTCATAAAATTAATAGTTCCTATCATCTTTAACCACTCAATAAACTCTCTCACCCTATTCCGACCCAAACCCACGCCCAGACCACTTCCAATTGCTTCCCATAGTTTTGATTTCGGAGTCAAAATTGACTCCAAAGTGAATGTCATCGCGACTCTTCCCAATTTATTTTGATACGGAGTATTTTTGAAGCTGGTTAATCAATCACAGTTTTGCTTTGTTTTGAAGTTTTGAGTCAAAGAATCTTCTGTATATGCACAAGGGCTTAGTTGGAAGAAGCTTGGAATGCTCAGGAGATTACCGTTCACGGGAGTGTGGAAGCACAGTAGGTGGAAAAGAATCTTCTTGAGCACGACCACCGGCGGAATCGCAGTCTCCGACGTCGTCACCATCAACACTAGCATCACCAAGCTGGCCAAAAGTGGCCGTCTCGAAGAAGCACGGGAGCTGTTCGACGAAATGCGCGACCGAACCGTCGTCTCCTGGAACACCATGATCTCTGGCTACGCACAGCGGGGAAAGTACGGAGAAGTTTTTGCTTTGCTTTCCTTATTGCATCGCAGCAGAACAAGATTTAACGAGTCCACTCTTTGTTCGGTTCTGAGCGTTTGCGCTCGTTCAGGGTCGTCCTGGGAAGGAAAACAAGTCCATGGCTTGGTCCTGAAGTCTGGGTCCGAAAACTTCAAGCTTGTTGGGAGTTCTTTGCTGTACTTCTACTCGAGTACTCATGAGATTGATGACGCGGGTAAGGTGTTTGATGAATTGCATCAAAGGAATGAGCTGCTTTGGAGCTTGATGCTTGTGGGGTATGTACAGTGTAACCTAATGAACGATGCTTTAAGGATCTTCAAGAAAATGCCATGTCGTGATGTGATTGCCTGGACTTCATTGATCTCCGGATACTCGAAAACTCAACAGGGATCTCATAAGTCTTTGGAGTTATTTGCGCTGATGAGAAAGAATGGAAACGATGTGGTACCAAATGAGTTCACTTTGGATTGTGTCATAAGAGCTTGTGGCCAACTGTGTGCTTTACCAGAAGGAAAGGCTGTTCACGGTCTGGTAGTTAGATTTGGTTTTGAATCGGAGCATTCGATCCGGGGAGCACTCATTGATTTTTATTGCACTTGTATGGAGACGGATGATGCTGAAAGAGTGTACAGCCAGCTGCTAAATCCTTGCTTGAATGATTCAAATGTGTTGATATCTGGTCTTGTGATGGCTGGAAAGGTTGAAGAAGCTAAATCTGTTTTCAAAGGGTTGATTGACAGAAATCCAGCGTCATATAATTTGATGATAAAAGGGTATGCCTTGGGTGGCCAAGTTGAGAAGGCAAAGAAGCTTTTTGCTGAAATGCCCCAAAGAACGTTAACTTCCACAAATACAATGATAACTGTGTATTCCAGGAACCATGAGATTGAGAAGGCTCTTGAACTGTTTGAAGAAACTAAAGGAGAGAGAGATCCCATTACTTGGAACTCAATGATTTCCGGTCACATTCAAAATGATCAGCACGAAGATGCAATGAAACTATACCTAGAGATGTGTCAGGTCCCAATTACCCAAACGAGGTCCACGTTTTCTGCCCTTTTTCACGCATGTTCATGTATTGGTTCTCTACTGCAAGGGCGGCTTATTCATGCCCATGTCATGAAAACCCCATTTCACACCGACATTTATGTTGGGACGGCACTTGTGGATATGTATTCCAAATGTGGCACCATAGCCGATGCCAAAGCATCTTTTATTGGAATCGCTTGTCCAAATGTTGCAGCTTGGACGGCTTTGATCAATGCATATGCACACCATGGGCTTGGTTCCCAGGCAATCTCAGTCTTCAACCATATGTTGGAGCAAAAGGTATCAACACTTGGGATTCTTTTAAGTCTTCAACAAGTTCTGAATGTTTACACCTCTAGCTCTTTTTAGTAAATTCCTAAAAACGTTCATGATAAATAGGAGTTTTCATAAATACCATCTTAAAATGTCAATATGAGTAGCCTAATGTCTTATAGAGTACTCCATCCGTTCTTAAATAACTGTGCCCATAATGACTTTTTACATACCTTAAAAACTGAATGAATGTGAACATACGTTGTGTCCACGTTCATTTGATTCTCAAAATACGTAGAAAGTCATAATGAACAATTATTTATGAACAAAGGAAGTATATATTAGCACATTATGTTTTATAATATGCTGATGATGTGAGACATATTCTTCAAAAGGTACATCCAAATGCTGCAACATTGGTTGGGGTACTGTCTGCTTGTACGCACGCGGGCATGGTCAGTGAGGGCATGAAAATTTTCCATGAAATTGAAACACAATACGGTGTAACACCCACACTAGAGCACATTACATGTGTAGTGGACCTTCTCGGCAGGTCAGGCCATCTTAAAGAAGCTGAGGAAGTAGTGAACAGTATGTCCGTTGATCCTGACAAGGTACTACTCACAGCTCTTCTTCATGCTTGCTGGTTCTGCTCAGACATGGAAGCTGGCGAGAGGGTTGCAGAGAAATTATTCCGGTTTTACCCCACATCCTTGTCTGGCTGCATCATTATGTCAAACATGTATGGTGGTTTGGGCAGATGGGGCGCAAAGATGCAGGCAAGGAATGTGATGAAAGGAATGGACACAAAGAAACCTCCGGGCTGTAGTTGGACAGAGGTAAATAACAGAGTTTACGTGTTTTCTCTAGACCATAGAACAAATCCATGTTGCATACGAGTTTGTTCAACTTTGGGACATCTAACAACTAATTTAATGAACTCCAGTAATCACTTTGATTTCAATCCTGATCTACAATTGACTTAAGACATTCATGAGCTTCTACATAAATATTCTTGATTGTTATTGGCAATTTAGTAGGGAGTGATTATTATTTTGAGCATGCAGAGGTTTCTTCCATGGGCTTCTAATTGTCATTGATCATCAATAGCCTCTGCATTATCCCATTTCACTGGTTCTTCAGTCACCGTCCTCTTCTTCATCTTGTACTTGAAGTAGATCAAAAGCTGGAGCAATCCCACTGGACATCCAACTATGTTTGGAGACTGATTACAAAAAAGATAATAAAATTAAATCATGAACTTTACACAATGTCTATTCAAGGAAGGAAAAAAAAGAGTACATGAAATTGTAGGTATAGGTAGGAAGGAACGAACCGCGAGAAAGAGGTCGTGGCTGAGTAGCCCGTAAGCCATCCAAAGTGAACTAGTAAGGAAGGAGAAGAGAGACAAGGAGAATGGCATGAACTCCACGCTCTTCGTCTTTATCACTTGTTTCTGCAACATTCATGATTCACCCATCACCACACAATGCTTATAGACAAGAGTCATGTTACTTTAACTCCAGGGATGATACCAAGGTTGACACTGATAATCACGCACAAACAACCATTGTGTGTGAGAAATCATTGTTTGTAAAAGACTGGAGGCGTCAATCTAGGTGTCATCCGTCCGTGGTGTGACTGTAACAGGATCCTAGCTCATAGTCAGTAGTGCTACACACACACACAAACACAAACACATGACACGTACCAGCACGACTAGAGGAGAAGAGTACATAGACACAGAGGCTACGAGTCCAACGCTGCCCACAAAAATTTTGCGTCGATGGTGGTCGTGAAACCCCAGTGCCGATACGAGTATGGTGCTCAATGCTACCCCTATCCCTCCCATCATCATCCCTACCACCTTCTTCTGCAATTCAATCAACTCCAAATCGATCTACCGTACAGAACGGGCAAAAACAAATGCTTACGTACAATTGTTGTTGTTACCTTTGTGGTGGGGTTTGGTGCAAAGCAAGTGTAGGTGAGAATGAAGGAGAGCTGGAAGAGAATGCCAACTCCGTTGACGGTCACAACGGGGAGGTTTTCCCACCGGTTACTCACCACCGGCGGCAACCCGTACCACGTGTACAGCAAGCAGTTCACCAGTGCGAGTATGTACGGTATGCATGAAAACTCTTCTGTGCTCTTTTTCTTTACTACCCTCACAAATGTTAACCTGATCATCATCCATCCTTATTTATTAATTTATTATTACGGAGTATTATTATTATTATTATTATTATTATTATTATTATTATTATTATTATTATTATTATTATTATTATTATTATTATTATTATTATTATTATTATTAGGCATACATGTGCCAACTGACAGGGACCTGATTTTTTTTAATGGAGTATCATATATTGATAAATTATGTAAGTCAAATATCAAAAGTTTAAAGTAAAAATGACTAAACTCGGAGTAAAACATGAAAAACGTAACAAAATAAAAGTTTCATGATGTATTAGTTTCATGATGATTTATCCTCAAAATATGAGTATGATGTCAAAATTGTCAATATGTAGTATCAAAAAGTACAATGTGATGCCACTATACAGTGAAATAATGTTACCGTGTTGCAATATGATGTATTAGTGGACATTATTAATAGCATCAATAATACTCCGTACTAATTAATAACTAATGGGTAATATTTAAGAAAAAACACATAATATCATGTTAATATTATACGTAGTAATTAGCATTATATTCATCATCCTCTTACGTAGGCGCAGAATAGAGCATCAAACTGGCGGCGTTACCTGCAAGAGTATACATGCAACAACACACAATAATCTATATATATCGTCCAATTCATATGATATATGTCAATAATATGTATATATATTTCATGCATACATTCTTTATAAAATCCTTTTTTTTTAAAATAAAAATCCCCCGATTCGTATGGCGCGCTATAAATGAGAGCTAGCTATCATACTCCGATCCGTATATATATCAAATACTAGCTAGTAATACGGAGTAATAAGGCCTCGTTTGGGGGTAACTTTTAATGTTTTAGATATTTCTTTAATGATGCATATTAACTTTAAAAATATAATGTCAAAGTAAAACGCTGACGACTCAATTACTAAACACACACTACACATAACATACCCATTACTCCGATGGCCAAACGCAACGTATCTCCCATAGTTTTATATATTTGAGGCTTGATGATGAGATCAGAATATGAAATGGAGAGTATATATGTATATGTATGTATATATATATGACATGAAAATTAAAGGAGTGAGAGAGAGACTACGCATGTACAAACCCACTTGCATGCATGTATACCAGGGGAATAAATTTTTAGTCTGTCTCAAAATAATTTTTTCTTTAACACTTATCGAATTTTTTATGTTTAGGAAAAACAAAAAAAAAAACATATGACTCAGCTTTTTAATTGAAGAAATGCAAGTGACGCCATGCATGCGGCTGGCACGCAACATTCATTTCACAATTTGGTAAGAGAGCAAATGTAGATGATCACGTTTCCTTTTTATTTCATTTTATTTTATTGTATGTATCACAATCTTGCGTATGCAACAAAATTCTCTTAATTTATTATTAAACTATAATATTGTAAAAATTGCGTAAATATTTTTTGAGACGTGATGGATATATGCAATATTGCAACGAAAAGATCTGTATATATATACATATATATATTGCATCCATTACATCTCAAAAAATAATTTATTATTAAACTATAATATCGTAATAATTTTATTGTATCCATCACGTCTCAAAATATTGCAACGAAAAGATTTGTGTATTACATATCATAAAAATTGCGCAATTTGTAAAAAACGATAACTTTGATATTTTTTTCGTTAATAAAAGCCTTTCTCCTTTATTTGTTCTAAAATCTCTTTTTCTTTCTACTCCCTCCATTTGGAAAAACCCTTCCCATTTGATTTGGGGGCAAAAATAAGGAAGTGTTAAATTATAGTTGATTTCCAATTTTGCCCCTGATGTGATGGGTAAAAGTAAGATGTGATAGATAGATTATTAGAGAAAAAGTATGATGTGATAGGTAGGGTATGAAAAAGTAAGGGTAAAAGTGGTTTTTTAATAGAAAGGGGAAGTGTTTTGTTGGAAGTGGAAAAAATGAAAGAGGAAGTGATTTTGAGAACGGAGGGAGTATTAAAAAACCACTTACTCATATTAATTCTTACCATNTCTCTTTTTCTTTCTACTCCCTCCATTTGGAAAAACCCTTCCCATTTGATTTGGGGGCAAAAATAAGGAAGTGTTAAATTATAGTTGATTTCCAATTTTGCCCCTGATGTGATGGGTAAAAGTAAGATGTGATAGATAGATTATTAGAGAAAAAGTATGATGTGATAGGTAGGGTATGAAAAAGTAAGGGTAAAAGTGGTTTTTTAATAGAAAGGGGAAGTGTTTTGTTGGAAGTGGAAAAAATGAAAGAGGAAGTGATTTTGAGAACGGAGGGAGTATTAAAAAACCACTTACTCATATTAATTCTTACCATATCTATCATATCGTACTTATTTGCTAATAATCTACCAATTACATCAAGAGGAATTTACGTAATTAGCACTAAAATATAATGACTTTTCCTAAATAGCACTACATGTACTTTTTTCCCTAATGTAATACTTTTAGTCATTATCCATTAGTCATTATTCAAGTAAATGTTCATCATCACTAGTCATTATGGACATTATTAAGTCTATATAGGGAATAAAACAATTTAAGTGCTATTTTGGGAAATGACTTAAGTTTTAGTGCTATTTCGTGCAAATATTTCTTACATCAAAGGTAATTTGGTAAAATCAACAAAAAATACTCATTCTTTAAATTCCATTAAAGTTTAAATTAAATAAAGAGATTTAAGGAGGGAAGGAGTATGAAATAAGACATCACTTGACTAGCTTACTCAACAGACGACTTACAATATTTGATAAAAATATATGATCTCATTTCTCAAAACAAAGATTTTTTTTTAAAAAAAAAAAAGCAAATTGGACGGAGAGATAAAAACCAATTTTGATCAGTCATTTGAATTGTTTTTATGCAAATCACATCCCAAGACTGAAATTGCTAACAAGGATCCCATCTTTTAATTATAAAAATTTACAAAATTTTTTAATCATTTCGCATATGTAACTAACACAAACTTAATTTGATTGATAAATCTCCGGTATTAAATAATTATAAAGTATGTACTACAACATAACTACCATAGTAGGGAAAAAAGTAGCCTTGCAATGGAGACATGTTACCTAAATTAAGACACTATTGCAATACTATAAGGACTCACATCCCAATTAGTTTCATGGTCCATGTCTCAATGTGAAGGGTAGATGACAACATCACACACACCAACACACAAACAGTTACTGTCTGTGACATAGGTGTCAATTCCGTGAGATTGGTGTCAATGTTGTCATGGTGTGACCGTAACACAACCCTAAAAAACAAGTGATCGAAATTGACACTTCTCATCTTTGTTGGTCAGAAATCATACTCAGTAGAGCTGAAACGACATGCAGAGACCCGGTGACCAACACGACTCCAGTCGAAGTATTCTTATCCCTTTCATTCAGAACCAAAGACCCAAATCTCAAAGAAGCCATTAATGGCCCTTCAGCAAGTAATATTTGTCTTGACTGGTGATGGTCCTCCTTTGACAAATTGCACTCTGCATCGTCTTCTTCGCGATCAAGAACGACATTAATGTCCAGTTCCTTTGAAGCTTTAACCCAAACATCTTTTAAATAAGACGCAGAAGTGGTTCGCGATCTGTCTCCAGCAATGGAGACTTCTGTAAGTAACACAGCTTCCAAACCATCAACAGATAACAGTAACTCTCTTGCAAAACCAAGGTGATCTTTGTCATTTGCCATAGCAACTACTAGAACTAGTCTTTTCTTTGGGAGTGCCATTTTCACTGTCTCGGCCAAAGCTCTCGCAGATTCCTTCGTATGTGCTGAAAAACATTTTTTATATATCTGAGGTTAAAAGATTGAAGATTCTATTTTCCTAATGCATAAACGAAAGCGTGCATTATCTTCCACAAACAATCAAGAAGATCTAACCTCCGTCTAGCACTACGTTTATATGATGAGGCAGTCCTAGTCTTTCAGCTTCTTTTGAAGTTAAAATTTGACTTCTGCCCGGAAAAATTGCACATTCTAAACCAGCGCGAATGGATGCGTCAGACAACCTCCATCCTGAAACAAAAAGCTAAAATATTCACTACTCCAAGATTAAATCCAGTGGTTGGTTTTACTTGTAACATTAACACTATGTTTGGTAGCATGAACTATGAAGGCAAGGGAAATGTTAACAGAAGAAAAAGAAAACAAAGACTATGTTTGGTTCAAGGAATTTGAAAGGGGAAAGAAAAGAAAATGATATGGAAAACACTTTTTCTTGTTTGGTTAGAGAGGAAAAGTGGAAGGAAAAGAAAATGAAAGGAGAAAATAAACTAAGAAGAGGACAAACAATTTTCCTTCTATTTTGGTAAGGAAAAATGAGAGAACCCTCTTTCTTTTCATTTCCTTCCAAATTCCACGAACCAAACATAGCGTAAAGAATCCAAAATCTTAATTTTGTTTGTTCATTGGAGAAATAGGTGAGAAAAACTCCTCCTCATGGCCCGAAAACACAAATCTAACCTTTGTTATGGAGGCATAGTGCTGCACAAACAGCTGTCACTGCATTCCTAAGTTGGTGGGAACCGAGCATGCGTAACCTCACATCAAATAACTCGACCGACTGCATGATTTATTTTTATTTTTTTGTGAAAAAAATAGACTTCATAAGATAGAGAAAACAGTGTATTAAATGTTTAAAAAGAGGTCAATAAACACGCAAAAAATACACATACCAGAGGAAGGTCTCTATCAATGTGGAGCAAAATGTCACACACTTGGTGAGTTATGCCACATGTTTGACTCAATCTTTTGAGAAAACTTTTATTTCGGGGATCAGAAACCGATACTACAGGTGAAGACACCAAATTTGCTTTATCACGGAGAATTTGCTCAATATGTGGAAGGAACGGTCCCCCTAGAACTAACTGAAATACTCAAGATTTGAAAAACAAAACCAAGGGTAAAATCAGCATTTGTATGAGTATGATAAAATATTGAGAACAAAAGGTTTATGCAAGCAAGAACCACCTAACTGGATGGCCATCTTTGACTATCCCTGATTTTGCAACTGCAATACTTTCCAAAGAACCCCCTAAAGCATCCAAGTGTTCCTCGCCAATTGTTGTTATTATTGACGCGGCAAGACTGGAGCCGCTAATTACATTAGTAGCATCTCTTGCCCCACCCAACCCAGCCTGCAAATCATTTTATACCTATATAACATCACACGGTTCAACTAAAAAGGGATAAGGAGAGAGGCACGATGGATAATACAGTCAAACCTCCACAACTGCAATTTGAATATTCTCCTGAGAAAACAGACTGAAAGCAATAGCAGTGAAAACCTGTGATTTCAATACCAAACACAGTGTTCACTAGCACCTTAAAATGACTTATAAGTCACGGAGTATAAGACACCCTTTTCATCAATATCATACCTCAAAATGACTAAGACATCCGTTTTCAAGTTCCACCACTCTCTCAAGAACTCTCCTCACCATCTGGAAATGACCATTCAATAGCTTAGCGCACACTGGTTCGCCATGTCTTCCCAATGTTATACGTTCCCTAATTGTTTTTATGTGCGGACTGTCCGGTAATAAATAAGAAATTATCCAATGTTCGTTACAATATCATAAGACAGAAGTTTATTTGAGCCAACAAGACAATAAAAAATAAAGTTGGTAAAACAATTGAATACCTAGTATAGCAACCCACAGAGTAGCCTTCTGCTCTTAATATGCTAGAGAGAAATGCAGCAGTTGATCCTTTTCCTTTAGTGCCCGCAATATGAAAAACCTATTGCATTTTCCAAGATTTTAACCAGTCGATAGAATGATTCCATTACACAGTTTATGCAAGCACTGATCAATGACATAGTACCCAATTGCAATTTCAATGACAAAGCCGTTAACTTTAATGTTCTGTATAAAATATAAGCTGTTTCTGAACAGTGAAAAGGAAGGAAAAAAACACAGAAAAGAATGACCTTGAACGTTGAATGAGGGTTGCCCAGAAGAGCCATTAGGCGCCTCATTCTACCCAGATCGAACCCGTCGCCGGAATCTGTCCCGGCGCCTTTGGGTACTCCTGATTTCTCGTAGTTCTTGAGGTTGTCTATGAAATCGAGCATTTCCTTCAGTTCTGGATCCTCATTTGACGCTGTTGACAAGGCTCGAAACCGCAAGGGACATTTTACTCCAACGACTGAAGAAATTGGACTGCTTCTGTTTCTGCTGATTGAATGAGCGAATCCACTGAGGATTCTTAAAGCTCTCATTTTTACGCACCCGCTCAGATTTAATCCTCCTAAAACTAAAAGCAGAACCCAATGGAAAGACACTGAAAGCCTGCGAATGGGATTCGATTAAGATTTGGGTAAATGCAAATAGGGTAAATCGAAGTCGAAGATGGAAAAAAATTGTGGGAGCAAAAGTCAGAGCCGAAGTCGATGATGCGCAGTGAACTCGAAGTGGATGAGCTGAAGAAGAGAAGAGAGAGAAGAGGAAGAAGAAGGCTTATTTTGCAATTTTGTCAAATTGAGGAAGTTTAATTTTGTTGGTCAAAGTTTTAAATCTACATCAAAAATTAATAAAAAGTACATTAAATTGTCAAAAATTAAATTACACTCTCAGTTGGCCGATAATATTTGTTTATTTTTATTGATTATTTGATAAAAAATATTTTTATCACATACAAAGTATTAGTGTATTTTATACGGAGTAGATTTTTTGGTAATGTTTTAAAATTTGTAATTTGTACTCATTTGTAAATAAGAATTATCTTATAAGAGGACTTTGACATTTACACATTGTTCAAAATAAGACGATATTTTTCGAACAAAAGGAGTATACATTTAATACTCCGTATCAAAATATTCACTCTAAAATATACTTTGAAAGTGCAAAATTTTCTTGGGACAGATAGAGTAGATATTTGTAAAAATTAAACTTCAAACATCACATTTTACTAGTCATATGATTATACACCATGAATGTTATCCTACATACGAGAAGATGCTTTTGTTTGTGTGACATGTGAATATGCAACATTGTCAAAAGTATATTTGATTGAATGAATGCATCAAAATTTCAAATACGTGTATAAAATGGGAATTAAAAATGATAAAACTAATATGGATTTTAATTAAATACATCAACCTAAATGTTATTTTCCATGCTGAGTCCCTCCATTCTTAAGTCCCAACATTAATTATAATATAGTAGTAATAATAATAAACAGAAAATACAAATACAAAAGGGGAAAAAGAAAGGAACTAAACAAGTGAAAAAAATATTTTGCAAATGGTAAAAGAAAAATTAATGCTCCATATATGTTAAAATGTACGGAGTATACTCCCAACAAGATCTTTTTCTAGTACTTTTTCTCATACCAGAAGTCCAGAACTAGAATATATTTTTGTAGTTCTGACTTTTAGTGTTTCTTTGCATGAAACCCACTCTAATGGACAACTAGAGTCTGTAGTTTGGAGTATTAGACAAAGTTTTCCACTACAGTCAATTACTAAATATATATTGACAAAATTTTCCAAAATCTCTTCTTCTTCTTCACCATAGACACTAAACAAACCGAATTGTTCAGGTAAAAAAAAGTGAGAAGACATATGTTATTTCATTTCCTAACAAGTGGTGATGATCACTCATGATCTTTACCAAGAGGCCGAGTTTTATTCGTCAGTATATGCCAAAATATATCGATCCGATTCTCATAGTGCCTTTGTTTTGTACATCATCTTATGGCATCGCGTACTGGTGATGAAAGACGTATTTTACAACTTCATAGAACGACACCACTATACCAACAGATGGGCCAGCCCGGCCAACGCGGGGCCCAACGCCTGTGAACAGCCCCTTCATGCCCCCATCTCTGCAATGAGCCCATATAATAGTCTATTAATTATGTGTGTCTACTTGACTTTTTCAGCTACTGGTTATTGGGACTAGTTCAAGAAATGTACCTCCAAACCTCCATTAATGTCTTTCTTGTCGTCATAGTCAGTGCTCTGATGGGGTCCTTCTGCAACCCCCCCCCAAAAATAAGAAGCCAAATAATGCAACAAAACTATTGAGGTAAGGGTGGGAAGAAACAAATCAGGGGAAAAGGTCTAATGCAACCAAACCTCAATCTGCCTTCGGGTTTTCGCCACGTCAAGTGGACAGGTCGCAGCAGCAGCAAGGCTTCCTGCCACAAAACCAGCAGAGAAATTTGCTCCAAGGATGCCAACAGCATTTTTGTCATCACCCATCAAACCAAGAAGCCATCTTCTTGTCTATTAGCAGCAATCAGACAATCAAGCCTTGAAATAAACAGGTTCAAGGGGGCACAAATTTAAATTTAATAGTAAAAGCATGTGAACTCACCGGCTCTAGAGTCGACCAACATATTGCAGAAAATGGAACATCGCGGGCAAGTTGTGCCCCTAGGCCTGTCCAAAGTACGCGATAGCTTTGAACTGTAATGAACAATTCTATTTTAGCACGAGTTGTTTTGAGGGGAAATTTTGTTTCACAATGTGTTCTTTTTATAAAATGAAAAACAATACAAAATGATACATTCTCATGATTGCTTGTATTTAAAACCTACCTCTATGCAGAGAAAATCTTGAGTGATAATATAGAGCTAGTAAAAGGTAATATTTAAATTTGCATTTAGTTATCTTCAACAAAAATGTGAAAATCAACTTACTGCTGTTACTAGCATTAGCAGTGGTCTTAACACTAGAGACGGCCTCAAATAAAGTCTTCACGACTCCAGGAGGCTTTTTACCCTTGTGCATTTCCTTGAAAGCCTAGTTTATAAAGCACATATTACTTGAAAGTCACATACTAATTCTAGGACAAATAAGCAAGAATGGTAAGACATTAAGACTTGAGAGTACCAACTACCTCAAAAACACAACATAGAAGGATTTATTTATCATATACTCAGTATAAAAATTATGTTTATTTTTTCATAAAAAAGTAATTGTATGGCATTTCCGAATCACGTACCAATGGTAAGAGTACCAACTGTCTTAAAATCACAACAGAAAACATTTAATCATATAATCCCTCCATCCCGTTAGGTATATCCATCTTGGTCAAGCACAGAGACTAAGAAATTGCAAAATCGTGTTGTTCAAGTTTGTTTGGACCAAAGTAAAAACATATGAACCACAATTTTTTCCTTAAATGGACACTGAAATGGTTTTTTGAGACAAACAAAAATTGAAATTAGGAAAACTCTAGCAGGGTGGAGAGTGTGTATGTATAACTTGGAAAATTACAAAAAAAAAATGTATATCATATAAGAACCAACCGAAAGAGTACCAGCTAAATGTAAGGCACATGGAAACACTTATTTGTCATATAAGATTAATGGATATTCGCAAAAAACCTAATAGTGTGACATAGTAGAACAAACGGTAAGAGTACCAACTACCTCAAACACAAGCAATACACATATATAGCAAATAAAACAAGTTGGGATCTATGTAGCACAGAAACGGAGACGGGGAGGGAGACAAGACGAAACGGAGACGCTGAGACGGCTATATTGAAAAAACGGGGAGACAAAACGCAGGGGATAAATACGGGTTCGTTGTTGTTCTTTACAAAAAAATCAAAATGTATGAGATACAAAAAAAGGAGTGCCAACTACCTCTAAAGCACATAACATAGAAACAGTTATTTATCATATATATAGAGCTATGACAAAGAAAACTAACAACAGTAAAGAAGCCAACCTGCATGCGTGTTTTGGCAAGTTCAATAGGGTAGCAACTTGTGCAAGCTAAAGAACGGGCTAATGAACCAGCTAGCAATGGAGCGTATGGCATCAAGCTTGGTGCATTTTTGAAAGTGTATTCCTCTAACTTGTTGCGAAAAATGTCATAGCATGGCAAGTAGATCCCGACCTGATCATAATACAGTTAGTCGGTAATAATCAGTTTATAAAGGGTATATTTGGGAATATCATTTGTAATTAGCATTACATTTTTGACAAAAACAAACCCATTAAAATCCCACAAAAAGTAGGGTCTAGTGAGGGTGTGTGTACTCAGACGAAATCTGTGACTCTAACGATAGGACCAACAACAGACCAAAAGTACCCAACATACACAACATTGCCCCTATGACAAAAATAGAGGATGTTTCTATTAGACTCTTGATGCATTGTTGCATTTATTGCCCAAATCTTCATAAAAGTAATAACAATGCAAAAAAAATACATAACTAATTTATGTTATTCATAATCTGTGAATGAGTTACGATAACAGTCTAACAGCCATTCATTTTAACACTTACTGTTGGTACTGCGAGTGCAAGACCAGCAATCGTCCCTCGCCAAAGCCTAGAAATACCTTCCTGTAAAAATAATACCCCCCGGTTAGCCATCAAAGTACAACTGAACCAAATGCCAATTTAAAAAAGCTTTGGCTACATGCCAGTTTTCACGTGAAATATTTAACTTTATTTCTACATGTAATTACACAAAACAAGTGGATACAATTGATCTGAGGTGTCCTTTTATCACAAGTAATAATCACTTTATAAAAGCATGACAGCCAGCTGGTCCAAATCGAACCTGTCGAATTATTTTGTAGAACACATCAAGAGTTCCTTTGTACTGGAAACAATCAGGTGGACAAATCGAAACTGTTCCATGAACACCAGCACGAGTACATGAAGGTGAACACCTTAGATCAGCAAACATCTAACAAAAAGTATGTGCAGCAAAAGTAATGAGAAATCCAAATTTGAAAAAGAATAAATACACCAAAGGATTACTATGTCATGGAGATATACTGTACCATGTTTGGCCCAAAATATGCCATGCGACTTGTCATGTTGCTTAAAGGGTGTGAATAGAGATCACCTGCTGCTTGTGCTTGTAGTCTTGTCTGCAAAGTTGATCGAAATCTAAATGCTAAGAAGGCATGAAAAGGTACAAAAAGTATGGAGAATAATTTATAATACTTCCTCCGTCCCTGAAAAAGGCTTGTTTAGAGACTTATTTTGGTCCAAAAAAAAGAAACAGATTTGAACAAAAAAACTTATTCCATTATATCTAATGTGTTTAAATTAGAAAAACTATCACAAAGTTAAATTTAGTTAAACCAACAATTAATTAAAAAATATAATTATAATTGATAATTTTCCATAATTGTACCTTGCTAAAATTAAAGTTTGTACTTTGGTGTAAAAGGTCTCTTTAGGAGGGAGGAAGCAATTCTTTTCACAATATCATTTCAAAGAAGATATAATAGCAATTAACCATGAAATGCAAAAGTTGGATATAAACACCTTCACAACATCTAGAGGGTTCACAAGTACTGCTGAGAGAAAAGCAGCACCAGCAGCAGAAAGGGATCGCTCCACGAGGCTCAAATGATCATCAGACGATCTGCTTGAACACTTATTTTGAGTCCGTTCGAGTCGATTTTCATCGGGGATCACAACCGGTTCAGACATCAAGGAAATGTTATTACCAATGTCACCAGTTATTGGTTGTCTCTCTTCCGTACTTAGCCATGTGTCTTGGTTTTGCTTTGATTCTTCCACCGACTTGTCTCTCTCAACTGACATCTATTTATCTATCTATATCTATAATAATGATGTCTGGTTTGTAAATTTTCCTGCCAAAATTGACTGAAAGAAAAGGCAATAAGAATAAAAGTACTCTCTCTATCAAGGGAAGGTGGGTGGCCTTGCCATGAAAGTCTCATAGTTTTTACAAGAGTACAACAACAACAACCCAGTTGGATCCCACTACAGTAGGGTCTGGGAGTTTTTACAAGAGTACATTTTTTAATTATTTGCTTCAATGTTATCATTTTAAACATTCTCAACCGAGAGGAGTGGGAGTTGTACAGGGTAATGATGGCTATTTTGGGATTTCCAATAACAAAATTGAAATTTTTTGAAGCGTATGATCCAAACCAAAGAACGGATGGGTGAAAACAGCTCGTTTTCTTATATAAATTGAACAAAAATTGTTCACTTTTTTACCTCAACATCATGTATGCATAATAATTACGGAGTATCTTACTTTCTTAATCCAAAAGAAAACATTAAAAATTAAAATACCAAGGTTATACTCCTAATATTGACCCAACACGTACTTCAAAAAAACAAACATAGAGATAGAATCATTCTGCTGCAAATAAAAAAAAATTATAAAAAATTGCAAAATTGAAAAGAATATAACAAAACCTAAACCTGAAAATACCTATCCAAAACCTGAAATAATATTTCTCAGAGTGGCGTTTCATACACATATTCCTAAAAATAGGGCTAATCGATTAAGAAGTGTTTCCTATACAGAATATCGACCCTCTTAACAGTTTATTAATGATAAACATTTAAACAAGAAAAACCCTAAAAATTGCGTTTCAAACCTGAAAATTGAAGCAAATGCATAATTTTTGTTTGAAAAAGGTTGGAATTGGAAGCAGGGAAGAGTCAGAGATGGAGAATGGAGAAAGAAATACCTGAGGATTGGACGAAGAAGGAGACCAGAACCGAAGAGAGGCTTCCCAAATCGTGGAATGCTACCGTTCATAGAAACAATGAAATAAGAAGCAGTTCGGGCTTCAGCCCAAATATACAATTGTAAAATTAGGCCCACATGTTACTTCTATTTAAAACCAGCCCAAATGAAATACGTGTAGAACACAACGACATCAATTGAGTAAAATTCTTCGAGAGCAGTGTTTGGGGAGAATGTATACGCAAAAACTTTTATCTTCCGTTAGTATACGGAATTTAAATTATGACATTAGAATTAGGGACAACGATTTCAATTCAGCTATTTGGTAGCACTAAAATATGAGGATTTGGAATTGGTAGTGCCAAAAATGAATTGGAATTGAAGAATTCAATTCAATCCAAATTAATTTCATAGAATTTCAATTTCCAATTCAATCTCAATTCCGTCGATTTCGTGTACTAAACGGACCTTACTTCTATTTAAAATTACGGGTGACAATTTGACACTTTTAATAATAGGGATGCATTTTAATTATAGGTTACCTTTTTTGGTGCAGAATATGAAAATATTGTGATAATGAAAAAAGTTCATTGACACCTCCTAAGGTGGTAAAGTATATACTATTAAAATTACATTCGTGGTGTAACTCAAGTGATCAATAGAGACTGCAAAGAGGTTCTATGAATGAACTATATATTCGTGGTGAAAACAACGTGAAACATTTTAAATCAGATTAAAAACAAATTTCTTTTTCTACTACTTGTTTGAAATTAGAGTTGTATTCGAAACTGTCTGGACAAGACTTAAGGGTATCCCTAGGAGGTGGGTTATGCTTTTGTAGATACTAAATTACATTTTTTAGGAAGATACTAAAATTACTAGAGTGAATTTGGTACACCAAAATTAGATATTCTATTTGTACACCAAGCAAATATAAATACTTAGTATTCACAGATAATTAGTGACTGTGTTTGTCTGGTGTACAAATGACGTACCTCATTTTGGTATAGCATGACTCAAATTACAATTGATCTCGAGTTAGTCTTTTTTTTTTCTTTTTTGAAGAATCAAAGCTGTCCATTTATTGTGTTTAATTGTGTTCAAAGTAAAGAATCTTAAAAAAAAAAGGTACTCCGTATAGTATGAGGAGTATTTTATTTAAATCTGATATTTTCTGGTAGAGCTTCACCTTCTCTGATGAAATGGGAAATGGAGGTGGAAGAGAAGGAAATGGAAGCCATGCTGGAGAAAATATTGGATTTGCACGATAAATTCAGCGATGCTATTCTTTCCATCTCCCGAGCTCACTTCCGCAGCTCCGTCAAATCTCGCCGCGATCCTAATCGCCGTTTCTGCTTTCCCTCCTCCGATCCGCCTATGCAGACGGATTCCGATCAGAACCCGGCTGCGGCTCTTCGTGAAGCTAAGAGCCTTAATGCCATCAGAACCGCCCTGGAAGACCTTGAGAATCAGCTCGATTTCCTCCGTGTAATTTCTCGGCACTCCTCTGTTGCTTTAAATTTGTTCTAATTTCGTTTCGTTTTTTTGAATTTCATGAACTTTAATTTATCGTGCTCCGCGCGTGCTGTGCGTGAAATTAGAAATTTCATTTCTCTTCTTCATAGAGATATATAATGAAATGCTGTGTTGCTGTTAGTGAAATAGTTCTTCCTGAAAATGTTCCTGATGAGTTCCAATAATCATTCATCGTTTAATTTGATTGTGAAATGATTAGCCTGATATGGTTAGAATTCAAGCTGTATTTGAGGCTATATTAAGCATTGTAATTCATCAATTGAGCTTTGAAGTGGAGAAAAACAAACAGTACTTAGATTCCTAAGTCATATAGATGTGATGATTTCTGAGATTAGGGTTTACAGAGAGAGATAATATGCTTAGATTGATTGTAAGAATGTGAACATGTCCCCTCCTCCCAGGCAAGGACAAAGAGGGGCGTTTCGGAATTTAGATATGAAAATTTGTTTCGCCTGTCCCTTATTTTGATTTTTCCATCCCGCAACATAAATGGACGTGTTTGGTTTTTTTAGAGCACACAAGCGCAGCAGCAGGCAGAGAGAGATGTTGCACTTGCCAGACTAGAGCAAAGCCGAATCATGCTCTCAATGAGATTGGCTGAATACCAGGGTAAGAAGTATGAGTTCATAGAAGAAGCTGAAGCATTGGTTGGAGAGAACATTTTTGTAAATGAAACAAAGTCCCCCCGAGGTAATTTTGTGGAACGCGAGGGGCAGAAATCGAATGTGCTTTTCAATGCTCTCTTCTCTAGTTTCAATTTCGTCAAACAGTCCCTCCAACGAGATCATGTAGGCGGGATGCTTGGAAATGCTGCCATGGTTGCAGTGAGTATGTTTGCATTGATGCGTCTGCAACAACCAGAAGTTTTTCACAACGCAAACCTGACCAGAGTTTCTCGACCTTCTGTTCCATCATCTGCCCGGTTCTCGGAGTTGGATGTTTTGTCAGCTCGAGGCTAGATTGAAAAAATAATAGTGACATTGTTTTCTTAGGTTGAGATGCTTCAAATTTCGTTTATTCTGTAGGGAGAGAGAATGCATATGCGACTACAAAGCCTGGAATGTGGAAAATTTTGATCGGTCTTCTGCATCAGAATGATGCATTGCTCTCCGGTAAGTGGTAATACAGTGTTAGTTTATCTGACTGGTCTTATTGTGAAAACCGACTTTTATATCGTATATAATATCCAAATTCCATTTGTTGGTGTTCTTAAATTTAGTCATCTTCGATTGTTGTAAGTGCACTTTGGTTGTGTTATTTTGTAAGCATATGCTGAGGTTATTGCTTTCTAGACCAATGGGCACTTTGGGTTGTGTGGGAATCTCAGGTAGCCCTTAATAAAAGTTTGAAAGATATGTGTTTCAAACTACTTGTGGCATAGCAATAGTGTGTGAGAAGCTTTAATTTTGCTCTCTTTGTGTACTAAACTGCGAGGTAGGATTCACGTGTATGTCAACAACTGTGTCTAGCTGCAGGAAATCTTTGTTTGGTAATCAACTACTACGTACTGAGATTATTGGTAAAAGGTAAGGATTGAGACAAAAGAATTGAGGTGTTTGGTTAGTTCTTATTACCCATCGTTACTGCTCATCAATAAGGTCTTATTTAGAGAAAAAAAGAGACTAAGGGGCTGTTTGTTTCAGCCTCTTAATGGTTCAGATGTCTGAATGGTTCAGCACTTAATGGTTCAGACTGTTTGTTTCAGCCTCTTAATGGTTCAGATGTCTGAATAGTTAAGAGATTTGCCTCTGAATGGTTAAGTATTATACAGAGTCTGAATGGTTAAGACATCTTATCTGAATTGATCAGACATTTGCCTCTGAATAGTTAAGCAATATACTAGCTCTTAATGGTTCAGACCTCTTACTGGTTCAGCACTTAATGGTTCAGATCTCTTACTGGTTCAGCACTTACCGATTCAGAAGTTGCCAAACAGCCCCTAACTTTTAATCCAAAGCAATGTTATAACGGTCGGGTTCTATGGCCACGGAAAACACTATCCCAATTGCGACAGATGTCCTACCATTCTAACTTCTCCAGTAAACTCCCTACCCAGTCCTGACACTAACCCGACCCCGCACCTACGTCAATTACACCCCACAAGTTTAGTTGACTTAAGGATTAAAAAAATTGACCTATAAGTAAGCTAAACTTGTTGGTGCAATTGACGTGGAGGGAATGGGTTGAGGTCGAGACTGGGTGGAGGGGTTTGCTGAGGGGTTAGGGAGGTAGGAACTGTTATTTTGCGAATGGAGCACCATAGATAAACAGTATCTTCCGTGCCGATTCAAAGTTTCTCCTTAACTCCATATAGAACTTATTTGATGTTCTTGTCTCACTTATCTGTGCATGGCCAAAAGATTTCAACACAATATTTTGGAAAAGATAAAAAAATATGAAAAATTGTGAACTGTGGTATATATTTGTTGAGTGCTTGAGTTAGTCCCTCTAAGTGGAGGGTCAACATGGTAAAATCATTTGGTTTTAGCATTGTTTAACGAGTCCCTCCAATTGAAAGTGCCATTTAATAAATCATTTGGTTGTTGTGATCGTATGTTGGCAACCCATCCAAATCCAATTCATTTGTTAGGCTCAATATGACGGGCTTTTTTCTTTATTTTAATTGTTTGGGCTCAATGTGTGAAGCCCGATCTGTCAAGCCAAGTTAGAGAGACACTCTACACATGACTAAATTATGATCTTGGATTGGACCGTAAGCTCTAACTCATGACTTTATTATGACTAAAATTAGTAGAGCTTCACAACTTAATATTAATCTGTCATATTTCATCTTTTAAACACATACGGTTGTTGGAGTATTTATTTTGATCTTTGAGATTTGAAATCTTGGGAGGTAATAAAACATGTACAATAACGTTAGAACGAATGATATATAAACCTGAAAAAGACTCGATAAATTAATGAATTGTGTATAACACGCTTTCAAATTTAAATTAATTAGTTTGGGATATACAAAAATAATTTAATCGGATAAAATGTAAGATTTCAAGAAAGAATATGCATGTGTTGTTCCATGTGTGAAACATACCAAAATACTCATATTTATACGCAAAATTTGAATGAACGTGTCTGTTGTGCATAACACCATAACTTTTCGTGATATATTCGAATGTATTGCTCCACCTTTGTTGGGGGCTCTACCCCTTGAACAAGTGGATATCAGGGGCTGCCGCCTCCGGATGCCTGCTAAAAAATTCATAATTTCATTGAAAGAACATGTATTTCACACCTTCAACCTCTTTAATACTTGTAATGTTTATTCGCATTCTCATTTGGTATAATTAATCCAATTGCTTTTTTCCCTCGGTTATTATTTAATTTGTCATACTTTCATCACTTTTTTTATTTTTTTTATTTATTTGGTAAAATAATATAGTCACATTACTTCTTATTTTGTAAAATTTTTTGATATAATTTTTAAATATATAATATTTATTTTTAAATGTTGCTTATAATTAAATAAACTAAATAAAAATAAATTTAGTTAAACTTAGCTGGTATTCTGGTAAAGTGAAACACAAAAAGTGTTTTAAGACGAAAGAGAATACTCCGTACTTTTTTTTATTTTTTNGGAAAGGGAAAGGAAATAAAAGGAGAATGTGAAAAGAGCGAGCCATGGGCACCATCAAAAGCCCGCAATCCCAGCCAAAAATAGAATGTCGGAAAATTTGTGTTTAACTAATTTGGAACAAATTTGCGTTATTTGTCAAAACATAACCATGGTCAACCATTGATTAGAGAATTAATCAAATACTCTTTCAGTCCCTATTAGTTTGGCACATTTCTAAAATCGAGGCAAAATATCATTTTTAAAATTTATTTTATTTAAATATTGGTATAGAAATAAAAAATAAAATTTACATATTTAAAAACTACATGAAAAATTTTTCGAAATAGAAGTGTCAAGAATATTTTATTTTATTTTATTAAATAACCAATGAAAACGTTTTAATAAACAAAAGTTCTCGCGACGATTGAAAAAACAAATGTGGCTTTCTTTTAGGGACGGATCGGAGAGAGTAATAATAACAATATCAAAGCCGGTCGTTAACTCCAGACACCATAAAAATAAAGATATATGGATTAAAATTTAATGTAATCTATGTTTATACACGTAAACGTACCATAGAAAGAGTGATACTTGTTGCATTTTATAGTACTCCGGGGTAACACACTTCTTTGACATGGGTACCCTGGAAAAGAGTCTATTTTTTACTGATTTAATTTCCACGCAAATACCTAATAAAATTCAAAATTTACTATGAACACTTATTGAAAGGAAAAGACATGGAAAGATACAATAATAAGTTTAATGATATTTCTTGAAAGGAAAAAAAAAGAAAGAAAAAAAAGAAAGAAGTGAAGTTACATAAACATGGAAAGACATTTCCGTTTTCCTTGTCACTTCTTTTTTTGGTTAATTAGTGAATTAAAGTTACTTTATTCTTTTTGCTAAAAAAGGGAACTTTAATTTTCTTCTTCCCCCCAAAATAATGATTATCTCATGTGTATTTGACATCGGTAATACTGTACGGAGTATAATAATAGTAGCACTAATATTCTATATTCTCATAAGAATTTCTTTTCATTTCAACATGGCATGTTTATTGAAATATTAATACGGAGTAATTTTTTAAAACTTAATTCAAACAATATCAACTGCAATTTTTGGAGAAAGAAGACTACACATTTCTAGGGAAAAAATAAACGGAGATATCCTGAATTTTATAGGGAGAAAGACCAAAGTAGGACTAAAACATTGAAAATATACCAAAATAGGACTTCTATGTTTTTATTCCCGAAATAGGACTTACATTACCAAACATGGTCATATACATTACCAAAAAAGTATAGTAATGTGCACATGTACACTGCCACATGATCACAGTGCAAAGTCACATTACCACAGTGCAAAGTCATATTTCGGGAAAAAAACATTAAAGTCCTATTTTGGTATTTTACTCTATGTTTTAGTCTTATTTAAGGTGATTTCTAAATTTTATACTCGTAATTTTTGTAAAGCTAATTTAAAATTGAATTTAATTAAAAATAACTTTAATCAAGATAAATCAAAATCTGTTTTTTATTTTGAGACAAGTGAAAAAAGAAGTGAAAATGATGTAACCAAATTTTTGTGGCATGTCCATTTAGTTGACAACATGTTTCAATATTTTCAATCAAATAATTTCCAGCTGGCAGGTCCAGAGTTGTGTTGACCCCACATTGCTGCAAGTCAACATAACTCTCCGCTCTCTACGCTGTCGTTTTGACCATCTTAGCTTCCAATCTTCAATTTAATTTGTCTCTCCGTAGTCTAGATACAAAGTAAAGAAAAAAACAAAGTAAGAAATGAGATGGAAAAAAATAAAGAAACAATAGAAAGAAAATTATTTATTGTTTAGATGAGTAGAGTCACTCAGAGGATGCGAGTAAATTGAGTTTTGAACACATACAAATTCTAAAGATAGGTGTTTGCATCTAATAGTTGCAGAGACCTTAGATTTAACATTGTTGTCTTCTAACACAATTTTCAGAAAAGCATGATGTAGAAATTTAACAGAAACTGGATTTCTATTCTCATTAATCACCATCGTCTATGTATACAAATTAAACATACAAGCGAACTGTCTGGGGCAGTCTCACCGTCGCTATTGGAGGATGTGGGAGACTGTCCGGAGACACTGGACTCCTGTTGCTCATTCAATTATCTCTTCTCGTTTTTCAGGTACTCAATATCCTATCCATAACTTTGTTCATTATGAAAAAATGCATGACAGGTACAGTAAATATCTTGTTGTTGTTCTTCCCATGAGGTGCCCAAAACTTTTAAGCAGACTATGCAGCATGCCAATTGGCATGTAGCTATGCAACTAGAGATTGCTGCATTGGAGAATAATCATACGTGGGACATCATGGATCTTCCACCTAGGAGAACGGCTTTGGGCTATCAATGGGTCTACTGTACCAAGTTTCATTTGGATGGTATAAAGGAGCATGATAAAGCTAGCTAGACATGTTATTTTGGAGAATCAGAAGGAGTTCGGTATAGATTATACACACACTTTTGATCCTGTCGCTAAAATGGGAACGACATGTATTCTCTTATCTGTTGTCGTGGCACGAGGCTGGGAGATACTTTTTTAAATGGCAATTTAATTGAGGAAGTTTGCATGCATTTGCCACCTCGTTTTTCTATTCCGGGCAAATTTTGTCGTCTCCGCAAATCTTTGTATGGTTTGCGACAGTCTCCTCAGAATTGGTTCACCCCAAGTGACTTATGGCTCAATCCAGTTATCCACATCCATCTTAAATCCTATCATGATATGCCGACACCGTGCACGGAAGGGGGCGCTGGAAAATCAGCGTGCTCATGCCTTGGGAAGAGTCAGGTTGGACGCATGAAGAATGAGAGAGAGCAAACGAAAAAGTGGTTTCATCAAAAGAGATGTCCCGTGCATGAAAGAAACGACGAGATTCAAGATTGGCCAAC